TGGCTCCAGGTTTGGTATACCTCCAGTTCAGATTCATCTGGATTTATTTTGAGTTTGATCAAGCTCCACCCCAGGTTTAGTCTGGTTTAAATCCAGTTTCTGTCTTGTTTTAGTCTGGGTTTCTTCCAGCTTTGGTCCAGCTTAAGTCCACCTCTAATCCAAATTCCATCTGGATTCAGATCTTTTTTTTATTCTGATTCAGTCTAGATTCTATCCTACTTCTGTGTAGACTCCTTCTAACTTAGAGTCATAGGGAAATCATATTTAAATGTCAAATCCTTCTGGTTTAAACATGTATATAAATGTACTCTTTATCAGACGATACTGTCCCAAAATTTAGAAAATTTGTATTTTTATGAAAATCTGTTTTTTTTCCCGTTATACGTCAGCCTGTACACCAAAATTTGGCCAATCATATATCAACGGTCATCTGTCAATCAAATTTTTATGATCATAGTATCTTGATTCATATATTGCAGCTAATGTATGCAACGGTTGAAATAAGAAATAAGAATCATTTAATTTCCCATTGAGTTCCGTCCCAGTGTTCACGGGGATGGACGTCTGTGTCTTCAGCAGGCGTAGAGCTAACAGAACTGGCAGCGTTGCGAGGCAAGGGATCAAACATGTACGGTTAGGGGGCGGAGTTAACGCGAATCAAGTCTCTGTAATCGATTTGCTTCGCCTTAATGTGCAGGGTGACCAATCAGGTGTTAGATAACCGCCCCCTAACTTTGATTGGTGAGTTTGACAGATTCTTTTAATGGTTTCGATGCACTGCGACACAGGACCATGAAATAATTAAATGCACACTGAAATAATTATATATATATTTTTAATAAAATGAAGACGTATTTTATTAAATTAATGACACATTTATATATTTAATTCCTTATTTATTTAATGAATTACACATTTAATTAATTGTTTATTTCTGTATTTCTTTATTTAATTGTGGCACTTTATATTAGTGACGTGGTTTTAATGAATTACACATTTATTTATTTAATTCCACATTTAATTAATTATTGACACATTTAATTATTTATTTAATTTTGGCACTTTTTATCCTCCATAGTTTAACTCCTTCAAGCCAGGAAGTGGTGCACCCGTTTTCCATTCTGTGTTGTTTGCTTTTTCAAAAACGTGTTGACAGTTGAAAACAGAAAAACTCAATTACCCAATATAAAGAAAAACAGCTTGCTTGTTCTCTAATGTAGGCCAGTGGTTACCTGGTGAGCTAATGCTAATCTTTGGTTAGCATTAACAATATTATCTTACTGTACCTGTTAAGGAAAAGGGCAGCCTCAGCATGTCTTCAAAGCCTCTTTGCTTTCTTCAGTCTGCACAGATATCTAAAGCCTAACCAATGCTCGCAATGATCTTTCTCCTTCTTTGTGTTTTTTGCTTAAACCCGATTTAATTTAATTAATAACCTGACTCCGCCAGATGGATTTGCTCTGCATATCCATCTGGAAACCTTCCGTAGAAGTAATTTTGGGAAGGGCGAAAATACTGGTTAGCTGATTGGCCTATGTTGGTGATAGACAGGCCAAATAAACCAATCAGGTCAACAAAGCATATGACGTAACAGAGCGACGACGAAGAGGAGCCAATTGATAGATCAAACTCTTGCCGAAACCAGTCGGGAGAAGAGCAAAAACATCTTTTCCTCTGAGAAAAGCCTCCAGAGCAGTGTTTTGCTCTTCTTTCAGTGAAGAAATACTCTGTAATTCCGATAAAACTTGCTCGATCGCCACGCTAACGCTAGTTTCATCGGCTGAAGCCGCCATGTTCTTTAGACTGAACTGTCGCGCTTCTCGTTGCGTCACACCTCAACCCGCCTTAAAGCCAACGCTGATTGGACATTCGTTTGGTGAACGGCTCCAAATTTTCTTCAACGGAGAGTCTCCAGACTGATTAGCGAGTGAAATCTTGAAAGCTCGCGAGATCAGGGTGGTCTCACGAGGCTAAAAAATTAAGGCATTTATCCTGCAACAGTCTAGGCACTCTGTTGAGTATTATTATTTTTTAAATAAATTGGTTGTATTAAAGTTGTAGATATGACCTTTTTAGAGTTTCTGCTCAGAAAAGTGGTCCCTTATTCCTGCGTCGCCACGGATCAGCCCGGCTCCAGACTCCATGCAGAGGTTCCCTGGAAAAGAACAGTCTTACCAAATAACAGATTTTTGTTGTAGCAGAAAATGTAACGCCTGTGAATTTTTAAAATACTTTAAACAACTACAAAGTTCTATAAAATATCACAAAGTGCTGTAAAATACTGTAAATAATTACGTGACTGTTTGCTTTAAATAGAAACCAGGGCACGCTCAGATCAAACTTTGACCCAGAGACTCTGATGCTTTCAGCTGTTACCGCTGAACATGACCAGACAGCTGCTGAGAGCTGATCAACCCAGAGGAACCATGGCAACACCCCTCTGGGTTTTTACTGCTGCTCCGCTCTCTCCAGATGAGCCGGAACCATTTGGATCTAAATTTTACCCAAACCTCTGAGCTGTTTGGGTTGGAAGCTCAGCGGTCTGGTTTAAACTGGGATCTTTCTCACATTATGACACCCAACTTTATTTATGCATAGCTTTAAAACAACCTCAGCCAAAACAATGTGCTGCTCACACCAGTAAAAAAGAAATATGCATTTTATAAATTATTAAATGAAAAACAAAATATAACTAAGACGTTAGAACAATTATTAGAACCATGAGTCCCAGTAAAACAAACAAAGTGAAACTAAGTGTCGCTAATGCTGAAAGGCTAAAGAATGAAAATAAGTTTCAAAGAAAACGTCTGTTCATATTCAGATTTAAAACTTCTGAAAGTACTTTAAATATGAAGTTATTACATACTATTTTTAATTAAGAGTAATTTTCATTTGAATGTGCTTTACTGGAGGCATCCATGTTTGTCAAAGAACACTACTGCCACCTACTGGTTTGTGACGTCACGGTGCGGTATCGGCTGTTGATCAAGTCCCAGTGCTGTATCTGGTGTTTGTCCCAACGCGCTATTATCCAAGTCATCTTGAAAACATTCTTCTTCGAAATATTGGCTACATGTTAGGTGTTTTTTTCTCTGGCCAGAATTTCGATGGCAAATCCTCCCTCTTCAAGTTGGCGATACAACGATAAACCCTTCTGTGGAGGGTCAGGAATCGGAAAGGTGAAATAACACTTTTTTTCCCCCCACTTTTACCCGATGTTTTACAACATCCAACTGCCATGCACGTGGACATTTAACTATAGCTCTGGTGAATTTCAATGGTGAAGTTCTCTGGAAATCTTGAAAAATGTTGTTTGCAGATGTGTCTAGTAGTTCCCATTGATTTTGCTTGCAAAGCGAGGAGAATGGCGCTAGGCTTACCGCACTATGGCATCACTGCCGGAAGATGTCAGGAGTGAGGTGTTATACTATGTTTGAGCAAAAATGTCCAGTTCTGGACTCAGTGATCACAACGAAAATCATAATTTTTCCTTTTTTACTGATTGACACTAAATTCATTAAATCACCATGAAAGTATTAGTTTTAGGTATAGATAATGATCCATTGATCATTCCTCGCTGACCGGACTTTTCCCTCGAAACAAGTTTTAAAAGTAAAAGAAGGAGCCTCTCTAATGGCATTGGAGCGCCTATACCACTGTCTAGGACAGGGGTTCCCAAACTTTTTAGTCTGTGACCCCAAAAATTACAGTGGCAACCCCCTAAAAATATCACTATGGTACAGTATTTGTAGGGGGCAATTGTATTAATTATTTAATACTTTATTAAATTTTTTTAATTGTTAAGGACACTTAATGCACACTGGAAGTGCATCTGCGGTCTCCATAAGTGCTATCCAAATAGTGCTGGAAACAGATAGCCTCGTGAGACCATCCTGATCTCGCGAGCTTTCAAGATTTCACTCGCAGATCAGTCTGGAGACTCTCCATTGAAGAAAATTTGGAGCCGTTCACCAAACGAACGTCCAATCAGTGTTGGCTTTGAGGCGGGTTGAGGTGTGACGCAACGAGAAGCGCGACAGTTCAGTCTAAAGAACATGGCGGCTTCAGCCGATGAAACTAGCGTTAGCGTGGCTATCGAGCAAGTTTTATCAGAATTACAGAGTATTTCTTCACTGAAAGAAGAGCAAAACACTGCTCTGGAGGCTTTTCTCAGAGGAAAAGATGTTTTTGCTCTTCTCCCGACTGGTTTCGGCAAGAGTTTGATCTATCAATTGGCTCCTCTTCATCGTCGCTCTGTTACGTCATATACTTCGTTGATCTGATTGGTTTATTTGGCCCGTCTATCACCAACATAGGCCAATCAGCTAACCAGTATTTTCGCCCCTTCCCAAAATTACTTCTACGGAAGGTTTCCAGATGGATATGCGGAGCAAATCCATCTGGCGGAGTCAGGTTAGGAAACAGGAGGTAGGAGCTACAATTTCATATTCAGATTTTCGGGCTGAAATCATATTTCCTAAGATAAGGTTGCACTACTGTGTGTTTAAATTCAACAATACTGGGAGAGACCTCTTTAAAATATTGTTAAGGGACAGGATCCAGTGGGGAGGCTGATGACTAAAGATGCCTCATCATCCTTTGGAAAAGTGACACAGGCTCAGACTGATCAAGAATAGCAAAGCAATGAGCTGAAATGGGTCACAGTCAGGGGGTGTGGTCAGGGCTCCTTATTACTACATTGATAATTGATTCCAAATTTTAGCCTCTGCTTCCAAACAAGGGTTTTAATGATGTTTAAGAGCATAGTCAGTTGTGTCAGGGGTTACGTCTGGTAGATGGCCTTACTAGTCTGTTGCTGATGCCCAGTTTTTGTCCCAATTCTACTTGGTGGCCCTCCTGATTGATAGCATTAAATCAAGGCTAGACTCTGAAACCACTGTGTCCATTTGATGAAATCAGTTAAGTCCATCTGTTGCCCAGCCCATCTGTCTAAACAATCAGATCTTGATTCTTTTCTTTTTTTTTTGTCTTTCAGGTCTAAATTGATGTATAATCCCTGGATGTTTTTCCCATTTTCTCCAAAATGAGCTTCATGAGTCTGGACTACCTGGACTTCAGACCTTTATCACCCATCAGCAGAAGGGTGAAATTTGCCATGAATTCAGATGTAATTTGGGGTTGACTGAAGCTTGTTAATGAACCAGCTCATCTTCTGAACATTAAAAAGAAGAAAGCTGCAGAAAGTCTGTGGTTTGAAGCGTATCAAAAGATAATGGGCCCTCCACAGATTCAGGGAACTCCAGCTCTCCCTAAAATGGGGGTCCGGGCTCGTGTGTCAAATTGGTCAAAGAAGCAGGATGTTAAGGATGTCCAGGCTCCTCCAAGGTTTGACAGCCTGGTACCAAGCAGGGTATATGAACCTTCAAATAAGCTGCTGGAGAATGACCAGGACATCCAAAGTGGAATGGAGAGGATGTTCCAGGTCTCAGATATCCTGGGTTCTTCATCCAAGAGTCTTGTTGGGATGAAGAGGAGCAATAGCGAAGTGACTCTTAGCGACTTTGGATCTGAGGATGTGGATCCAGTTGCCATTAATCCAAACACTGGCACTACTCTGAACCGAAAATTCGAGAGCACTTGCAGTGTGGAATGGAGTTCATCAGACTTCTTGGAGGCTTCGAGGATGGACCAGGAGCCCAGTGCACCTCCTCCTATCCCTGAGCCAGTGTCAATGCCCACTGTTGTGTCTCCCAGCCTGCAGGCTGCTGCCCAGATTGCTCGTGGGGACATCTTTTTCATGCCGGAGCAGGACTGTATGGATCCGTTGGCTTACAGCCCAGACTCAAGCAAAGCTCATAGAAGGAAGATGGAGATGTCCCTCTTAGGACTCCTGAGGCCTCAGAAGAGCAACAGGAATGAGGTTCAGCAGGAGGTCAGGTCAACTTTGACCCCTCACAGATGTTTCTCTCATTATGACGTACAGAGTGTCCTCTTCACTGCTGGTGTGCCACAACCAGAACTTTTTCATTCCTCTTCAGAAGCTCCTGACCTGCTGCCATCAGTTAGACACAATGAACTCGATGCAGACACAAGGCGCGGCAGTTTGGTTCTCACCCATTCTCAGTTCCTTAGTGAGACTGGAGGGGACATGGAAAACAGTCTGGACCTGACCCGGTCCTGCAGTTCTAACAGCATCAATGCAGTACACAGTTACAGCAGCAAGACAACACTGGGTAGCTGCACCAATGCTGCTGTGTCTGTCCTTGAGGCCTGCTCAGAAACTCAACTGTGTTCTACAAATCTCATGGGGAACTTTGACTTTGAGCACTTGGACCTCGGAGCCAATTACTACCATAAATATTTCTACAACAAAGGTAAGACCCGATCCTGACGTCTTCTTGCTCTTCACTGATGATGATTCATGATATGCTGTGACTGCTCTTAGACTCTGAATAGACTCACCCAAGACTTATGTGACTCAACTTTTACTCTAACAACCTCCATGAATCTCAGAATTCTCTGACTACTCCTAGACTTGTTTGACTCCCCAGGACTTCTTTGACTGACTCCAGACTCGATGAGAATTCTTGAAATCACCCATAGTTCTTTGACCGCCCAGATTTATTTGCATCTGTTTGACTGTGTGTGTCTCTTACATGGACTTCTTTGACTTACCCTTTTTTGACTCCCCATAGACTTGATGGACTGACCCTGACTTTTTTGAACCAAGAATTCTTTGTCTCGATTTCCTGACTCCCCCCCACTTATTTGAATCATGCAATATTTCTTTGACTCACCCAGACATCTTCAATTCCTTCAGAGTTTTTAAATCCCCAGATTTCTTGGCTCTCAGACTTCTTTTAAATTACCCCATATTCCTATAGACTCCTGGATTTCAACAATGTTCGATTTTTCACTTATTTGGATTTGCCCTAAATTACGGTAGTCATCTTTATATCTTGCACAACTGACATACAAGGGAATTTTTAAACCAATTCAGAGGAGGAATGTTGAATTATTAAAAGAACTTTAAAGTCGTAGGGAAGTCATATTTAAATGTCAAGTAATTTTAGCTTAAACATGTATATAAATGTACTCTTTATCAGACTATATTGTACCAAAATTTCAATAAGTCACCAATTTAGTGCTACTTGGTCCCAACGGAATTACCCATTGGGAACCTACTAGCCCTAAGTTGCTAACTGCTTAGCAAGATACTTCAGAGAAACCGGCCACAACCAAACTTGCTTGCGAACCTTCCGCCACAACAATCCCACCCCCTTGATAAACAACTAATCACATTCACTTTATTCACTCCATTAAAGTTGGGCACCATTCAGGAGAATTCGGAAATGTAATGGTTGGAACGGCCGCTTCCCTATGACTTTAAAAGATAAATAATAAGAAAGAGTTTTAATGTAACCTAATCAAAAATCTAAGGTTTTCAGGCATTTTTTTTTCTTCAAATTCTCACCTTGTTTGGTTCTGGTGCCACTGAGTCAGCAGGACCCCAAGGACCTAGAGCTTGATTTTTTGTAAACAGCTGTGTTTTCTACTTCCTTGTGTTGTTATAGTTTTTGTCAGGTTGCTGTTTGTGCTGAACGTGCACTGATTTATGAATCTCTTTACTAATACAATGATGCCAGGAACAAAATGTCAAGATATGTAGAAGTTCTGCAGTCTGATTCTGTCTGTACAATAAGAAAACGTATTCATTTTAAACTGTAACTGTGAGTCATGGTCCTCTAAGAGATCAAGTTTTTTTAACTAGTAAAGAATAACACAACATTTAAACTGTATATTCTTTGCTCAAGCTTCTTGCAAAGCTTGAGCAAATCAGATGTCTCAGAGCAACAGGTCTGATGATGTTACACCGAGAGGCGGGACACGGGAGTAGCGCGAGAGAGGAAAAACTTTAGCCCCACCAGGCTAAAGTTGGTGGGGATAACACCAGTTCTTCAGAAAGTTACGCCTGTGCCCTGATCCCTACAAACTGCTCAGTTGAGCGAATCTGGTGCTATAATAAAGGTGTTGAAATATATCTGAACTATGAGGCAGCTCCAATTCTCCTGGATTCTGCTGTCCCCTTTTTTTAGGTTTAGATCTCAGACCTGTTCTCTGACTGTTGTCTCACTAGATCACCAGAACTATCTGGGCTTTGATCCAAAGTTTGGTCCAGTGTCCCTGAGCATTCGACGGGAGGCTGTGGATGACAGAGCCAACCCCATAAATTTCAATTACAGGATCATCCTCCGGACCAGTCAGGTAACTGATCATTACTTCGGTCCATTTCATTACACGATCATAGGTGGAGTGTGAAGAGATAACGTCCAGTTTCTCCTCAGCTGTCCACCCTCAGAGGATCCGTTATGGAGAACTCAGTCCCTTCTTCATCCAAACACGGGACTTGTCGAGGTCTTCCTCTAAGGGATGTCTTAGAGTTTGTGGTTCCTGAACTAAATATTCAGAGCCTAAGAGTGGCTAGCAGTTCCCCAAGAGTCTCTGATCTGCTGCTACAGCTGGACCAGCAGGAGGTAAGCTGGTTCTGATGGTCCTACTGATGGTAGATACATGTCAATAAAATGGCTGGTAGGTTGCTTCAGAAACATGGTTGTATAAATGGTATTTATTTGTCATTGATTTGGCCCAAATTGAACAGGTGCTTCTAAAAAAACACCTGTTATAATGAAACCTTACATAAATCCCTTTGTTGGGATATATATGAAAATATATGGCCCCTGGGTTGCCAGATATTTTTATATAATTCTGGCATACCTCCCCCATAAGCTTAATTATTTCCTTCACGTAAAATTCGGGAGATTAGCAGGATTGGGAGCTCGGCGGGAGATAACATTACAAAACAGGGTTCTATTGTATAAATTGTGAGAGTTGGGAAGTATATTTGTGAAGAGATTGCTGCGTCATTCTGTAGAACATTCCTCCCATTGATCTTTTTATGGGTTAAGTCATCAGGGATGAAAATCAAACATTGTTTGTTTCTGCTTTTAGGAGAACTTAAAAAGATTCTGTCATAAGCAGGATGATTTTGTCGTCCGTCAGATCAAAAGGGTCAGAAATACTGAAGTTATTCTCTGTCTTTGGCAAAACCTTTTAAACTGAAATGTGCCAACAGTTTTAGAATCCTTAACTCCAGCCAGTTCCTGTTCAACATCTTCTTTTTTATGGTTTTCTGCAGCTCGTCCTGCAGCACAGAGTGGGCCTGTTGCTGTGCCGGAACCGGCCCACTGCAGGGGACCCCAGTGAGACCAGTAGCCCCGCCCTGAAGCAGTTCCTAAACCTGCTCACCCACCAGGATCCAATGAAGGGTTTCTACAAGTACCAAGAACAGCAAAAGTCCTCTGGTACCAGAACCACCTCTTCTTTCTTTTACACAGCCGATCCTGGCTTTGGCAAAATGTGTATAAATCCACCTAAGGTGTTGAGGTTGATGTACATTCATCTTGGAATCTGCTGCCAGATCTACCCCAAAGTTCTAACAGCGTTGCTGCTGTTTTGTTCCAGCATCTAGTCTATAACCCGTTTCTCCTAGCCCAGGTTCTCAGGGAGCCAAAGTCCTGGAGGATCAAGACAGGGCCAGAGTGAGACCAAATATCCAACCAGACAGGCCCACAAGATAATGACCTATTTTTATAAAAAAAAAAAAAATCTTTGGTTAAGTCCACCACATCACAGTGTTCTGTAAATGCTTTTGATTCTGTATATTTTTCTAAAATACTTCTAATACATGTTAGCGTTGCTTCACAATCTAGATTTATTTTAAAAAGGTGAGCAAATTCCCAACATTAATATTTATAATAAAGTGTTCACTGAAATCCAAACCTTAAAAGTGAAATAAAATAACTGAAAATATTATTTCACACTTCTTCCAGTTTCCCTAGACTCTCCTGGACCTGTATCACATAAAAATACTTATCTTAACATTTTTAGCATATTCAATATGGGAATCATGTTTGACCAAGTAAGATATTTCTAGGTTTAAATATTCAGATTTATTTCAAATTTCATAATATTCCATTTCAACTGTGGGCTTTGTCATTTAACTATTTACTAAATGCTAAAAAAATCGCACCGGTCACTTATATGGCTTGGGTATAGAAAGCATTTAGAATATCCATCCATCCATCCATCCATCCATCCATCCATCCATCCATCCATCCATCCATCCATCCATCCATCCATCCATCCATCCATCCATCCATCCATCCATCCATCCATCCATCCATCCATCCATCCATCCATCCATCCATCCATCCATCCATCCATCCCTCGTTGGATCGTGAGGGGTGCTGGTACATCTCTCCAGCTGTCTACGGGCGAGAGGCGGACTGGTCGCCAGTCGTTCCATTCACACACACACTCACACCTAAGGAGAATTTAGAGAAGCCAATTGTTGGCAATTGTTATGTTTTTGGACTGTGGGAGGAAGCCGGAGTACCCAGAGAGAACCCACACATGCTCAGGGAGAACATGCAAACTCCATGCAGAAAGACCCAGAGCCTGAAAACAAACCCAGAACCGTCTCGCTGCAAGGCAGCAGTGCTACCTACTGAGCAGCCCGCATTGAGAACAGTTTCTTCCATTTCTTCCTTACAAATTGTGCGTTCATTGCTGGTACTTTGTGCTGCTGTATAGTCCAAGACAAATATTCCCATTAATGTAGCGTTGCATCATGTTAGCGTATGTACTGTAGCGTTGCTTCATGAATTGATGACATTTTGTCTAAATCCCAGACTTCCAGTAGACCGATACCATATCGATCAAAACTCTGCTTCTGACCCAGTGTGGTCTTATCAAAAACATCTCCCAGAAATCTCTACGAACCAAATCAAATAACCGCTTCTGTTTCCTAACAGATGACTCCACAGAGACACAATCAGTTTACACGACGTTCAGAGAATTCCAGCTGATGTTCCATATTTCCACCCTGCTGCCTGCTGCTGCTGCTGATGCTGCTCAGGTACTCCAGAAAAACTAAGCAGATACTACACTGGTTATAACTTGGGTACTACATGGATACTACATGGGTAGTACACAAAAACTGCATAGGTACTTCACAATTTCTACACAGATACTGCACAGAAATTAAGTAGGTACTATGCATGTACTACACAGGTCCAATGCAGATATTACAGATGTGTTACACAAGTTCTACACGAATACTATGTAGAAACTACATAGATGATTATCAGGTTCTAATCAGGTAACAAACAGGTTTAACACGACTACTAAACCACCTATCTAGTAAAATGGCACTAGTTAGGTACTTTCCAGTGCCATATGACATATTAATTTAGTTACAGTACAGTTTATTTATATGGCGCGAATTCACAACACGTCATCTCGAGGCACTTTACAGTTCACCGTATATGCAGACATATATACTACATAATAGCGCAATCTTTCCAATAAAGATGCGTTTGGCTCTTGGTTCAGAAGCATCCAAGTTAGACTCGCTTGAGATCTGTTAGATGTTGTTTAATGTGACCATGTAATCAGCAAACTTTCTTTCCTCTTGTTCAAAACGCTTTATTTTCCAAAATCAAAACAAACTTAAATTTTCTTACCGCAACATGACGTGACAGGCAGATCATTTCGGCTCATTTCGTTGCTTTTTTGCCACTCAAAGAAAACAACAATAATCATCAGAAGCGGTCAAAAACTGTATGGCTGCGTTGACTGAATCCAAAAGCTCACCCGGCCCCAATAGCCAACTCCAATATAATCCAGGTGCTGCAGTCACCTGTCCATAATGAAGGGGCGGAGGCGAGAAACAACGTAAATTATGAATGGCAGCAAAACACAACTAAACAAATTCATAATTTCAAAATTAAGTCAGTCAACTTATACTTCAAACCAAAATATTTCATGTTCATATATATCGTACCAAAACCAGACAAAAAATAGTAAACTAGAAATAAATATTCAATCATAAATCAAGCATTTGGCTCCAACATTCCGGCCCCTAATTGGCATGCAGGTACAAATGTCAATTACATAAAACAAAATAGAGGAGCCAAAGTCTCTTTTTTTTTTTTTTAAGTCTGTAAGTCTTCAAGTCAATTGTGTGTATGTTTACACTTCAGTCTCCACATGAAGCCTCCAGGAGAAGAACAAGCTTTGTTATAGGTCGACGGAGAGTGTTGGTCTTGGTCCGAACTTGCACCTGTCTTACAAATCCCTTGGCATCCGGAAAGGTTTCCGTTACTCGCCCCATTGAAGAACCTCTTGGAGCTGTATCGTCAATGATCAGGACAATATCCCCTTTTTCAAAGTTTTGTGTTTTCCTTGTCCATTTGTTCCTTTGTTGTAGTTCAGGCAAATATTCCTTTATCCACCTCTTCCAAAATAATTCTGCCATGTACTGAACTTGACGCCACCTTCTCCTGCTGTAGGAATCTTCTGGGCAGAACACTCCAGGTGGTATGGAAGGGTTTGTTTTGAGAAGTAGGAGATGGTTTGGTGTCAAGGGTTCCAAATCCATGGGGTCGTTTGATGATTTTGTGATTGGTCTGTCATTGATGATAGCCTCCACCTCGCAGAGTAAGGTGACGAGTCCTTCGTCGTCCAATGTTTGTTGGTTTAGGAGAGCACTGAGAATTCGTCTTATAGAACGAATTTGTCTCTCCCAGACTCCTCCATGGTGAGATCCTGCAGGTGGATTAAACAGCCAAGAGATGCCTTTTTTCAGTGCAGCAGTTTGAATCTGGGAATTGTTTAGAGTTTTTACAGCCTCACGGAGTTCACACTCTGCTTTAACAAGGTTGGTCCCATTATCTGACCTCATGACTTTAACAGGGCCTCTTCTGGAGACAAATCTTCGGATTGCATTAATGCAGGAATCAGTATTGAGATTATGTGCAATCTCTATGTGAACTGCCCTGATAGTGAGACATGTAAAAACAACTCCATATCGTTTGACAGTAGACCTTCCACGCTTTATGTTGAATGGGCCAAAGAAATCTACACCCACGTTGGTAAAAGGCGGTTCATCTGGACTGACCCTTTCCTTTGGTAAGTCAGCCATGATCTGCTCACCTTTCCTTACATTCATCCTCTTGCAGGGAACACATTTGGCGATCACCTTTCGAATTGCTGAAGTAGCTCCTGGAATCCAAAACTTTTGTCGCAAACGCGACAGAGTGTGACTTCTTCCATTGTGTCCAATATTCTCATGAATGTATCTAATGATGAGCTGTGTTACATGGTGGTTCTTTGGCAAGATAACAGGGTGTTTGGATTCTGATGGCATAGCAGACTTGCTTAATCTGCCACCAACTCTCATTAGTCCCTCCTGCAGAATTGGTGATAGTTTAAGGAGATGGCTGCTAGATTTCACAGCATTTCCTTTCCTTAAGGCAGTCATCTCTTCTGCAAAGTTTGTTTCCTGCAAGAACATGATGATTGCATCTTCTGCTTCTTGTAGTTCTTGCACAGAGAGAACTTGTTTTTCCTGTTTGTCCCTTTTATTTCCAAGAATATCCTTTTTCTTTGCAATAGCTGATGCCAGTAGAGCTTTGAAACGAAGAATCCAGGCTACTGCTCTTTTAAGGCGGTACCAGTCAGAATACCACAACAGTATCCTACTAACAGCATTTCCACTCTCTTCTAGAACAGCAACGTTTGATACAAGCACTTTAATTTCTGGATCTTCAGGAGTGAGAATCAAATCTGAATCTGGTGTCTTGGGCCATTCAGATTCAGGTAGCTGAAGAAACGCTGGGCCTGAAATCCAAGTCACATGGTTTAAGAAGCTGGGTACAGAAACTCCTCTTGAAGCACAGTCAGCAGAATTCAGGCTGCTGTTCACATACCTCCACTGAGAAACATTGGAAGCAGATCTAATGGTTTCGACTCGATTGGCGACAAAGGTCTTAAATCTAGAAGTCTCATTCTTTATATATTTTAGCACTGATGTGCTGTCAGTCCAAAAGACTGATGGTACGAGAGGTACTTCAAGCTCCTCTTGTAACATCCGATCCATTCTCACAGCTACAGTTGCAGCTGTGAGCTCCAACCTTGGGATGGTTACAGGCTTTAGAGGAGCCACTCTAGCCTTGCCAATAACAAAGGCTAAGTGAACTTGTTGGTATTTATTTGTCATCCTCAAATAGGAGACCGTGCCATAGCCATTTTCGCTTGCATCAGCAAAATGGTGGAGTTGTGCTGAGTCCAGTTGTCCAAAACAATCAGGTTTGAGGCATCTCTTAACCTTGTAGTCTTTCAGCAAATTCATGTTTCTTAACCAGTTAGACCATTTTTGATGGAGACTTTCAGGAATCCTCTCATCCCATCCAAGCTTTAAATGGCAGAGTTCTTGTAAGATCTGTTTAGCAGGAAGGATGACTGGAGCAGCATTCCAAGTGGGTCAAAAATCGAACTAACCATTGATAAGATCCCACGATGAGTAAGTGGCTTGTCTTGGAGCTGATTTTTGAATTTAAATGAGTCCGTCTCAGTGCACCATTGTACACCTAGTGCTCGTTCGACAGGCAAGATATCTTGGTCAAAATCCAGGTCTCTGATTTCCTTGGCTCGGTTCTCCTCAGCTATGGAGAGAATCAGTGTTTTGCTATTGCTGATCCACTTGTTCAGCTTAAAACCTCCTCTGGCACATAAAGTACTCAGGTTTGATGCGAGCGTCAGGGCTTCATCGTCATTTTCTACAGATTTGAGACAATCGTCTACGTAGAAGTTTCTAAGTATTGTAGAGATGGTTTCTGAGTTGAAGTCCACCAAGTTCTCCTTTGCACACTGTCGCAGAGCAAAGTTTGCACAACTTGGTGAAGATGTAGCTCCAAATATGTGAACAACCATTTTGTACTCTTCAAGTTCTTTGCTCCAATCTCCATCTGGCCACCAGAGAAACCTTAAAAGGTCAGAGTCTTCCTCTGGGACTCTTACTTGATGAAACATCCCTTCGATATCAGCCATGAAAGCAACAGGTTTCTGTCGAAATCTGGTGAGCACACCAACAAGACTATTGGTCAAGTCAGGACCTTGTAGCAGATGGTTGTTCAAACAGGTACCCTGAAAGCTAGCACCACAATCAAATACCACCCTTAGCTTCTGTTTTTTGGGGTGGTAAACACCATGATGTGGTATGTACCAAATCTTCCTGCTCTGGCTTGTCTTAGCCTTGTCTTCAGGTGTTAATTTAACAGCAAAACCTTTGTTTAGGATGTCCGACATGAATGCTTTGTATTCTTCATAGAATTTGCTGTTCTTTGCAAACTTCCTCTTCAAGTTAAGTATCCTCTGTTCAGCTACACATCGATTGTTTGGAAATACAGTGTCATCATTCATTAGTGGTAGACCAATACTATAATGTCCATTTACCAACTTAATGGACTTGGAGACACTGTCCATGAACAGTCTGTCCTCCTGTGACATTTCAAGGCGCTCCTCGTGTTGACGCTCTGGGAAGTCTTTTTCAATTTGCTGTTGCATCACTTCATAAAGCTTGACAACAGAAATTCTACAAGCCATAACAATCTGTTTTCCATCCTTTGTCACATTTGTCTTTCGAAAAGGACCATTTACATTCCAACCCAATGCAGTTTTAACAGCATATGGTCCATCTTTTTGGCTGCTTATAACTTTCCATGGCTCCAATGCCTTTGGAACATTGCTGCCAATCAGCAAACCAATATCAGCATCAATTTGAGGGAGTTTAACCTCTTTCAGATATGGCCATTGTTCCAGATCCTTTTCTGAAGGAATATTTTCCTTTTTTACAGGGATTTCCGTCTGCATATAAGTATCAGGCAAACCAATGTATTCATTGCTGTCCAAGCTGCTTATTTCCAAATCAGACACAGTAGCTGTTTTGATGACTTACTCTTTATTCATTGTGCGTAAAAGTATGTCAGTTGTCTTTCCAGTCAGTTGTAACTGTCTGAGCAGTGCCTTGGTACAAAAGCAATCAGTACTGCCTGGATCCAGGAAGGCGTATGTCATGATGGATTTGTTATTTCTTTTATTTTTCACTTTAACAGGCACAATAGCCAGGATGGATTCAGATTCATCAGCCCCCATGTCAATCAATCCTTGTTCTTTATTCTTTATTTCCAACAGACCACTTATGATAGATTTTTCTTTATTGTCTTTGTGAGCAGTTATTGCCTCACTCTTGGTAATATGCAAAGTGGTGGGGTGTTTGAGTAAACACACTTGACATGTTAGCCTTTGAGAACACACTTTGCTCATGTGCCCAGCCTCCAGACATCCAAAACATACCCCTTTTTTCTTGAGGAACTCCAACTTTTCTTTGTGGGCTTTCTTCATTAATTTGGAGCAGGAATTAAGTTTGTGAAACCCATCACAAAATAAACAAAGCTTGCTAGCTCCTTTAATAGCAGATGTACCCAGAGAAGTGTTGCTCTCCGTTGTGGGCTCTGTGACTGGTGTTACACTAGTGACAAAACCACTTTTGCTCCTATTCTCCCTGCCAGCCCTTGGCATTTGCTGCATATTTGAGCTACCTCTTGTAGTTGGAGTTATGTCCTTTAAACTGCCAAATACTGGGTGAGATGCTATTTGAGCCTGCTTATCCACAAACTGCACCAAATCTGAAAATCTAGCTCTTCTTCTACTTTGGTCCTGTAGTTCCCAGACTTTGAATCTCCATTTTTCTTTTAGTTTGAAAGGAAGCTTTGAGATTATGGTTTTTATGTTGGCTGGATGGTCCATTTCTTCCAAATAGTCCACAGTAGTCATAGCATTGAGGCAGCCATTTAGAAATAATGAAAAACTTTTTAATGCTTCAGCATCTTCCACCTTTAAAGCTGGCCAGTTAAATGCTCTATTTAGGTAGGCTGTTGCGACTGTATGGTCATCTCCAAAGTGTTTTTTCAGCAGTCTTTTTGCCTCCTCATATCCTCTGCTGGGTGGCATATACTGGCAGCTGCGCACCAGCTCTTGTGGTTTGCCAGTTGTAAATTGCTCCAAAAAGTGAAGTCTGTCTTTGGGATTGTCTGTGCGCTCCTCAATTCCATGCTCAAAGGCTCTCATGAAAAATTGATATTCCAGTGGATCACCTTTGAAAACTGGTCTGGTGAGCGATGGTAACAATGACATATTTTGTTGTTTTACAAGAGCCTCTGTTATTTTGTTTTGTTTTTCCATGATTTCAGACAAGTTGTGTAAGTTTTCATTTCTTTGTTTAGGCATGGAATCAGATTTTTCTACAATCACAGGTGTGTGTTGTTGTTGCACAGTCTTCTTCTGCAGTTGCATGTCTTGTCTCCATGAGTACTGCATATTTTCATCCCTGACAGTTTGTTGTGTAATTTTTGGTCTCACCACTTGGGGCTGTTGCACTTGATCTGGTAAAGACTCATGAGCACATGGAATCTGAACAGCATTTTCAAAGTATGAATTCATCCCATCCTTTCCATCTGATGCTTCAGAGCCTTGTTTTGATCCCAAAGCCTCAAGTACATTGATTTTTGCTATTGCAGCTGCAAGTTCTGTTTCCAGTTCCAGTTGTTCTTGCCTTTTTTTTAATTGTTCTTGTTGTGCCTCAAGCTCATGCTTTTTAGTTAGGGCTGCGACCCGTTCTATGATAGCAGCTCTTTCTGCTTCTGCCTTTATGCGAGCATATGAAGTGGCTGAAGTGCTTGATGCACGAGACTTTGATTTAGCCTTTGATGTTGGGGCATTTGAAACACTGTCATTAGGGCAGATGTCATCAGAGTTTACAACACTGGGTTGCTTTCCATGTCCAACAATAGAGGATAAAGTCCTTTGACATCCATTTTTAACATTTGGTCCAATTTCACATAACCACATTTGCACATCCTGTCCAAAATCAGTACATTTGTCAATTGTTTGCTTAAGCCATTGACTTTGCTTTTCAAATTCCTTTTCCGGCAGAAAATCCTTCAGTGATTTTTGACATTCACATGCTTCATCACAAAGTTTGTTCATTTCATCCAAAAGACCTCTTATTCTAGTTGCATTTTCATTTGATTGCATGAGCTCTTTCATTGTTTCCATTAGCTTTTTGGATTGTTTGCATTTTGAGTTTCTTGATTTTTGAGTGTTTGCCAAAAGCAGCTCCAAACCCTTTGCAGTGTGTTTAATAACCCTTTTTTCCTTTTGAAGTTCCATACAAGTTTCATCTTCCATTTCCGTGCGTGGCTTAACACCGCCCTCTGGTGACTGAGGTTTAGAAAGACTTTTTGCCATGACATCTTCATCCATTTTCATTTGTTCAAACCACTTTGTTCAGACAAAGACACAGATGAAATCCTCTTTTGAAATTTTAAGCATTGATGATATATTTTATTTCCACAGATGATAGTTTGCGTTCAGTTTGAGTTCACTAATGCATTGGTGGAGAATTCTCATTTTAATTAACGTCTTTGTGCGTAGGCGTGTCCATACGCTTCATTCATTCATGATTCCGGTTGTCAGGGAAACATTTGCTCCGCAGTCCGTGCACATAAACGTATTGCACAATTTTCTTGGAGTTGAATTGTTGTGTGCCCCACTTGACTTCACAACAAGCTGCCGACGTTCCTCATGCAGTTAAGTTTTTGACGAAATAATAGCGCAATCTTTCCAATAAAGATGCGTTTGGCTCTTGGTTCAGAAGCATCCAAGTTAGACTCGCTTGAGATCTGTTAGATGTTGTTTAATGTGACCATGTAATCAGCAAACTTTCTTTCCTCTTGTTCAAAACGCTTTATTTTCCAAAATCAAAACAAACTTAAATTTTCTTACCGCAACATGACGTGACAGGCAGATCATTTCGGCTCATTTCGTTGCTTTTTTGCCACTCAAAGAAAACAACAATAATCATCAGAAGCGGTCAAAAACTGTATGGCTGCGTTGACTGAATCCAAAAGCTCACCCGGCCCCAATAGCCAACTCCAATATAATCCAGGTGCTGCAGTCACCTGTCCATAATGAAGGGGCGGAGGCGAGAAACAACGTAAATTATGAATGGCAGCAAAACACAACTAAACAAATTCATAATTTCAAAATTAAGTCAGTCAACTTATACTTCAAACCAAAATATTTCATGTTCATATATATCGTACCAAAACCAGACAAAAAATAGTAAACTAGAAATAAATATTCAATCATAAATCAAGCATTTGGCTCCAACACTACATATATACATATGTACAATACAAATATATACTATGGTACTAATCAGGTACACATTATTATTCAAATTCTATACAGATGTCTAACAGTTAAAACACAGGTAATAATCATGCTGTACAGGTACTACAAGGTAATGAACTCACTATGTTTACTGCTATTATAAGTTCTACTAAAAGTGGTTCTTAGCTAAAGTTCATTCGACAGACAAATTTCTGCCATGTACACGAAACATCCATCTGGGAAAGGTTTGATTTTAAAGGCAGGACTAAAGGTCAGCAGAAATGGCTCAGAACCAATCAGATACTGTATTTTCACGACTATAAGGCGCATATAAACGTCTTTTTTCCCCTCAAAATGTGCGGCGCGCGCTATAGTGCTGTGCGCCCCATGTGTGTTGTTACTGCGGACGTTGTTGAGACCACCATGAGAACGTTAAAGGGGGAAGTGTGGGCGTGGCTTGTGTATAAAAGAACAGGTATGTGCTTTATGCAGAACATTGTTGTCATAACAACCCTGAAAATGGCAAAGAGACACGCCTTTGAAGTACAGTTTAAACTGAAGGCTATCAGCTATGCAGAGGAACGTGGAAATCGAGCAGATGGATGGATGAGGAGATGATGAAAGAGTGGCTGAGGGAGGTGTATGTAAGGAGACCAGGTGGTTTTTTCCACGCATCACCATCGCTGTTAATCTGTGACTCCATGCGTGCCCATCTCACAGCCGATGTGTAAAACATGGTGAAACAAATGAACGCTGTGCTTGCTGTTATTCCGGGAGGTCTGACAAAGGAACTTCAACCGCTCGACATCGGTGTGAACCGGCCGTTCAAAGTAAGGCTGCGAACGGCGTGGGAGCGATGGATGATCGACGGAGACCACAGTTTCACGAAAAGTGTAAGGTAGCGCCGGGCAAGTTACGCCACAGTTTGCGGATGGATTGTAGATGCTTGGGCTAACGTGTCTGCTGGCACTATTGTTCGAGCTTTCGCAAAAGCCGGCATCATTTCCGAGGAGCCGCCCGGCACGGAAAGTGACTCTGACAGCGAAAAAGGGGAAACTGGCATGTCTGATTTAGCGCAGCTGTTTAATTCAGAAACTGAGGATGATGACTTCGATGGGTTTGATTAATACGTTGTAATAAATACATGAATAAAGCACAAACATACTCAGTTTTGCTCCCGCTGTATTTTTAAATTCAATTCAATTCAGTTTATTTATATAGCGCCAAATTCACAACACATGTCATCTCAAGGCACTTTACAGTTCAACCAGATCATACAGTCAAATTGATACAAAGTTTTCTATCTAAGGAAAACCAGTTGATTGCATCGACTCATTGACTCAAATACAATCCCTCACACTAAGCATGCTTGTAGTGACAGTGGGGAGGAAAAACTCCCTTTTAACAGGAAGAAACCTCCAGCAGAACCAGGCTCAGTGTGAGCGGCCATCTGCCGAGGCCAGCTGGGGTTCAAGGAGACGGAAGCAGAGACACAAAAAGCAGCTGTAAAAGGCGGCCCCGTCCAGGTAACACACAGCCAGGCAGACGAGCTCCAAGGCAGCTCCCATGCCAGAGGACGAAGACAGCACATCCACCCAGTCACAGGACCACACTGGAAAACAGGTCGATCTCCAACATCTATAAACAAGGGTGTTGATGGCAGCAGCACAGCTGATGTTTCTTTCCAGGATGGAGTCACAGCCAAACAGGAACAGACGAGGCAAAGCTACTCTGAGGAAAAGCAGAGAGAGCAGAAGGTTAGAGATTGAACTAACAGATTCTGCAGAACAGGAGAACAGAGAGAGAATGAAGTAGAATGATGAAATGGGGGTCCCTATGTCCTCCAGAAGTCTAAGCCTATAGCAGCATAACTATAGAGATAGCTCAGGATAACCTGAGCCACTCTAACTATAAGCTTTATCAAAAAGGAAAGTTTTAAGTCTAGCCTTAAAAGTAGACAGGGTGTCTGCCTCACAGACTAAAACTGGTAGTTGGTTCCACAGGAGAGGAACCTGATAACTAAAAGATCTGCCTTCCATTCTACTTTTAGAAATTCTAGGAACCACTAGTAAACCTGCAGATTGAGAGCGAAGTGCTCTGTTAGGAACATAAGGAACAATCAGATCTCTGATATAAGATGGAGCTTGGCCATTTAAGGCTTTATATGTGAGAATGAGGATTTTAAATTCAATTCTTGATTTAACAGGAAGCCAATGAAGAGAAGCCAGGATAGGAGAGATGTGATCTATGCAGTAGAGGTATTTAAATGTAGTAGAGGATATGTACTGCAGTAGAGGTATTTAAACGCAGTAGAGGATATGTACCGGTATATAAAACCCACGCCCTATAATCCGGTGCGCCTTATGTGTGTGTTAAATACAGTAATGGCGAACATAACTGAGACTGCGCCTTTTAGTACGGTGCGCCTTATGGTCGTGAAAATACGGTAATTAAAAAAAAAACATCTGACAGCAGTCAGTTGGTGAAACAATATAAGCAGTTCTGTAGAGACATCAATAAAATATTGTTATGTCGTAGATGCAGTCTTGAACGTTATGGCTACAGAAAAGCCCTCTTGCATTATGGGAGCACCTTCTGCACTGTGATTGGTCGGGTCTGTTTCAGACTGGAGAGTACTGACCTTACCTGACTAACATAAGCTCAGTGTAAGCCAGTCTGGCTTCCCAGGTTAGAGGGTCAGAGCTGATTATTATGAGGCAGGCTTTTCAGGTGTTGTTGTAATTTTGGTCACTCTGGCAGACCAATCACAGAGCCCCTCACTCCCACTTGTTATCTTCATGGATCAATGACACAGAAGGAATCCCAGTGATGGCCCAGACAGTCACTGATACATGAAGACAGCACTGGGTTGTGAAGTAGCCGTGTGGAGGTGAAGTCAGCTGAACTTCCTGTTCAGTTGGTACAGATAAAACTGGGATTCCATGATAACTCATTACAAACTGCTTTCTTTGTCAGATGCTGAGTACGCATCTCGTCGGGAACAACACAGTTACAGTGATTTTCCAGGAACCCGATGCGCCACCCTTTAACCCACAAAACATCCGCTCCCACTTCCTCTGTGTAATCATCGTCATCACAGTGCACCGACCGTGCACCCAGCATACCTATTACAGGTGAGACTTCGCCCACAAGTGAGATCTGTACTTTGAAAGATGTTACTCGACCTACAATTGCTGGAGTCACCCCTGTCATTGTGACACCTGATGATCTCATACCATGTTTCGCTGCTGCGTCTTTCAGTCTTGCAGCATTCAGATCGAGGGGCATCCCGCCCTTTGGGCCATCAATCCGGTCTGGTTGGATGTTTCCAGCCTCACATGCCTTCATCGACTTCCTGCTGACAAAGATCATTAATGCCAAACATGCCACCCTCAAGTCTAAGCCATTTCTCACCATGGCGACCCATAGCCGACGGGAGCAGCTAAAGCAGTTGGTAGAGACCTTTGTGACGTCGACACCGTTAGACCTTCCCTCCAATGCCCGGTTCAGCTTTATTTCTTTGGCTGGCAAGAAGAAGGACCGCCTCGCGCCACAGCCACTCTCCTACCTGCAGAGCGCCGGCGCCCTCACCTGGAGCGTGACGGTCAGGGACCCAAGCAGCTCTGCTGTCGTCGCCTGCCGACTAGCTATCTCAAGTGAGTTGGTGGTGTTGATAGACGAGGCAGGCAGGAAGGTGGTGTTCAACTGTACTTGCAGAGACGTGATTGGCTGGAGCACCGCACATGGGTCCGTCAAATTGTTCTACCAAAATGGGCTCCATGTGGCATTTTCTACACGAGACGGCCGCTGGGAGGACTCCACAGAGATCACACAGAGATTGCAGGTTAGCAGTGTAATCCAATTACCCCCTTTCTACCTTTGACCCGATTAGAATCCAACCATGTGACTCCCCTCAGTTGGTGACCCAAGGCGCTGCGGCAGCGAATGTGACCCTGAGGAGGAACCGCCTTGGTCAGCTCGGCTTTCACATCAACTTCGAGGGCGTGGTGGCAGACGTCGAGTCCCACAGCTTTGCCTGGCAGGTGGGACTTCGTCCTGGCTGCAGGCTGGTGGAAATCTGCTCCGTCGCTACGGTGACGCTTTCTCATGAGCAGATGATTGAGCTGCTGAGGACAGCGACAAACGTCACTGCCGTCGTCCTCCCACCGCACAGAGACGGGACGCCGCGAAGGTAGGAAATGTTTCACTTCCTGTGTTCTGTTTTCAAAAGGAAGTGTAGAGACGGAGGTAGGTCGAGAGAAAAGATGGCGTCCTAATGAAATGAGCTTAACTTCATTCCACAAGAGCCTACAACGCTAAGAGCAGCTCAAATAAGCTGCATAAAACAGTGCGTTTTGAGCAGCTGGAGCAGCGGTTTTGCTGCACCTTGATGCGCTTCAACCATAGACTTTGCATGTAAACTAGCTGCTCCTGCTGCCTTTGCTGCTTTAGGTGTGAACTTAGCATTAGTCTTTAGAGAGCAGGAGGAAATGTTGTTAGTTTTAGTTGTAATCATTTTTGTTTTTTAGTTAAAGGTATAGTTGAGGATTTTCTTTTTCCGGGTGGATCATCAAAATAAGTGGTCCTCCTAATTGTCAATTATTCTGGTAATGTGTTTACGTAAGTCCATCCTACGTGCTCGTCCCCCGTATCACTTACCGGTGGTGAGTCTGACAGTGGAAAAATATTTTCTTTTGGAAAGTAAGCTTGTATGACCCGTACAAACAGCAACTTTTAAACAGAGCGTGCACAAGAAGAAATGGGCTCGTTCATGCTCTCTCTCGAGGCGTTCCCTCTCAGGAGCAGGTAAAGGGTTGTGCATTTTTTTAAGGTGGAGAGGGCGGGTCTTTTCAAAAATTTCAGAAAATCCTCCACTATACCTTTAATTGTTGCTTTTTAAGCCTATATTTTCAGATGACTGAGTAAATGAGCAGCTCTGAATGTGGCTCAGAACTAGACAGCTTCAGATCATGAGCTACATTTCGGTTTCTGCTGAATGTTGTTTGTTGTCCGTCAACTATTTCATGAAATTTCTTAAAAAAGGAAAACGCCGAACCTTCTCTGACTGAAGCTTTCATCTCAGGAGCTTCTCTGAAACCTACCGGCTGCCTCTCCTAGAGGTCAAACTGGACTCTGATGTCACTTCCTGCACCTGTAGAGCGGTTTCACCCAACTTCCAGCCTGCTGCCCCGCCCACACCCAGAGTAATGACCAGTCCAATCAAACGGACGAACAGCGCTGACATGAAGGAAGGAAGCAGGTATTGCCATCAAACGTTCAGAATAACTTGCTTGTTCATTTGAGCCAAACCAGAACCAGATCAGAATGGATTAAGAACCAGATCAGCATTTAGACTTCAACAAACTTTATTGTCATTTTCTATACAGAAAGTGTATACAAAATGAAATTTCGATACATACAGCTGTCTGACTGTGAATGAGCAGCAGCTTAGCAGTCAAATTAACATTTCCATTTAATAATTTTTTTTTTTTTACATTTCCACCATTGATGAATGTTCTGTTACTCTGCGCTTCAGATCACCTCCTCATTGGTTGATTGGCTCTGATGAAAGCCCAGATTCCACGCAAGACAGGACTGGTTGGACTGGTGGGGTCAAAGGTGAGTAGAAATGGAAGCAGAATCAGTTTACCACCAGATTAAAAGACAAACTTTCAGTAGTCTGATATAAGATATTTAGGAGAACTTGAAGTGCATTTTGGTTCATTATTTTTGGCAGCAGATAAATTGTTTTCTAAAAGGAAATTTGAAAAAAAAAAAAAATTAAGTTCTTAATTAGAAAAGTTTTGAGAGGATTCGTTCTGATTCTATTTTATTTTTATTTTTATTTTACTTTTCAATTCTGTTCGTATTTACATTTTTTAAATGACTCTAACTCTCTCAAGTACTGTTTTCAGACTGAATTTTTACACATTACATTCTATTCAATTTGCATTTTACATTTTTTTTTATCACCTAGTCATGTTGCTCTTCACTACGGTTGTGTGAATTGGCAACTATTTTACAATGTGATTTGAATGTGTGATGTGTGATGGTATGATTTATCCCAAGTCATTAACAAAGAAAATATATTGTGATTGTTATTATAATAATAATAATAATATGGCTCTGGAAAACCTGATGCAGAGCAGCTGAATAACAGATCCTTGGGCGCTGTGCTGCCAGCTAGTGGTGGGAGGGTTAAAGATTTTATAAAACTAAGGCAATGACAATGAAGGTTTTTAATTGAATATTATTTTAATATTAAAGATTTGACTATATTTTGAATCAATGCTAATATCGTCTAATGAAAAATTACGACATTTGATCGAATCTGCTTTTTTTTCTTTCATCACTACGCCTCACGCATTTCTGTTTGTCAGCATGAACTTTAGCAACATTTAATTGGCCAAAAGCGAGCATTTGTATTGGGCTTGAGGTGAAATCTGTGAAATAAAATTAGAAAAGAATATAAGTTTTTAAAACTAATCCTAAAAAGAGAAACTGAAGAAAATAAAAAGTGAAACTTTAAACCCTCTTAAAAATAAAAAATAAAAAAGTTGAGTCTGAAAAGATAAAATTTGAAAAAAAAAATAAATAAATTGGAGGGAAAAAAAACAGCTACTCCGAAAACCTTTTTAATTAATACATTTTTCAAATTCGCATGTCTGGTTTATTATTATGATTTTTTTACAATATCAGTTTAGAAAACATTGTCTTTGCAACAATAATTGAACCCAATTAACTCAACAGTCTTTGAGTCTTGGTTGTAAAATTAGTGAGGTAATAACAGATAAACCTTTGTTGAATAATTTTTATACCTAAAGATCCTAATTCTTTATTCCTCAGCTTTAGTCTGACTGATAAAACGCTTTGATGTCCTCATGTTCCCTTCCAGAACGCAAACACCGTCCTCTTCATGTGACCAAAGCCTCAAGTCCGACAGACGGAGACAGCAGCAGCACGCAGCAGACGGTAAGTCCAGATTAAAGTCCTCATTTCTGCATTAAAGTCTTCTTCTCCTGATAGACATATGAACGTGTTTCTCTGCAGTTTGGAGCCAAAAGTTGCTCAAGTTGCAGCAACACATTGTCCAGCAATAGTAGCGACGGCAAAGCTTCCTGTCCCCGACTCATCGGTCTCAGAGGGGTGTCGGTAGACAGCGGCGTAGACTCCACCCACTACCCCTCGTCTGTGCTCCCTCAGGTTGCCGGGGCAACACTGGTACTTGCAGATGTCCTGAGGAAGGAACCAGCTGCCTCCAACAGCCACAGGACTGACCTAAGTGGACCAGGTTCTCTTGCTAGGTGACAAGTTTTTGTTTGCCTGTATTCATCCAGACAGATCCTGATTCCCATTTGATACAGTTAGTCAAACAATGCAGTCAAGTTCAGTTTATTATACAGTTTTATTAAAGGTTTTCTAGCCAAGGAAACACAGCTGATTGCATGAAAGGAAAAACTCAACAGGAAAACCTTTGGTACTTCTGGCAAAATCTAGGACTGATACGATTAATTGATTTTTAAAATAATTATCAGCTGAATTAAATTGTTACCCATTTGCTTATAGCAGTATTTAAGACAAACCTTTATAAACTATAAACTATTAAACCTAATTCTTCCATCGAATATAAAATTGTTTCTTTAGAATATGATTAAACATAATTACGTGTATGTAGATACATTTTTTTATGTTCCATCTTTAGAAATTCCTTTAAAATGAGCCAATTGTTTTTTTTATTCTATATTTACAATTTTTATTTATTTATTTAGAAATGTAAATTTATCTTTTTAGATTAACCATTTATTTTTCAAAAGTCATTTTATCATCCATCACGGCACTGTAAAGTACAGCAAAGGTTCTTATTATTTAGGTTTTTGCAATATCCTGTGAATGATAAACAAATAGGCAGACACCAAATAAGATAAACCATTTTTGACTTGGAAAATATGTAAAAAACAAAAAAGTAAAAGAAGAAAACAAAAAAACAGAAAATACATCTACACACAAGAAAAGGATTGCGATGAATCCATCAATTGAGAAAATAATCAATCGATTAACCAACTATTAAAACAATTGATATGTGCTGCCATAGAACAAGTTTTGTCTATTTAGCTAAAGACATTATAATATTTAAAAATCTGTTTATTGTCCTGTTACCTTCCTTCAGACGTTTAAAGACCAACATCTACATGCTTTGGAACTAAGGCGAATTATTCCATGGGCATATATCTATTTATGGACTGGAAATACTGTATGTTTAGATTATTACCAACTAAACCTCTGCTGTGATTATGTTGATGTGAGCGCTGCTCCTCTTTATTGCTGCTGACAGGAGATGTAAGCTGTGTTTTCGATTAGTTGTTCCTAAACATTATAACCTGTCATTAAAAAAAAAACAGCATTGATACAGACTGGCAGCCCCCTAAACGCACAACATTACCTCGTTCTATATTTATTTACAAATACAAACAGGAATGTACAGGAAAAGTAAAATTTTTACCTTAATATGTCCGGTATAGTAATCCTAGGCTGTAAATACACGGGCTAGTGACATAAGCGCAGCCGCTCATGTTCCTTCGTTTAATGGCGGATGTTTACAAAGTAGGTTCCACAGCTATGGCTGCGTCCTTCACTGGGCCCGCTTTACGTGGGCCGGAACCTCACACAGAGTGACAACCAGAAGTGATGAGCTTTGATTGGGAACAGTCTCTCTTTCAGCAGCCGTCCTCCCCTCCCCTAGTGTAATATCTGTCAGCTAGCAACCATGACAGCATCAAACATAGATCTGTGCTCTCACTTGAAGAACCTTTTCCTCTAACATTGGTAAGATATTAAATTCCCAGTAAGGTTCTAGTTTTTAGTTTTAGATCAGCAAAAAAGTGTGTGTCTGAACCATTTCATAAAAAAATGGCATGTTTTACTGGCTTATCTAGTTAGCTTGTGACAAGTACAACAATTTGGGCCATAATGTTTTGTTAAAAAAAAAAAAAAAAAAGGAAATGATACCTTTCCCCGTCTTCAATCTTATGGCCCCGTTTGGCGTAGGGGGAGCGGGGCCTCAGGCGATGTTGGTATAGAATCATGACTAATGGCCTATTCCAGCTTTTGTGTTCAGGGACTAACATAAAATGCGTTTAGAACATTATCAATATTCAATGGAATATGTATGGTTTTGAAAAATATCATGCTTCACCGACAGAAGCAGCTTGCAGGAATACTAGACCCAAAAACATGGTTTTCACAGCATTTTAAGTCTGGTTTAGGTTTGAAACAAAAACTAAAGCTTGTTTTCTTTCAAAAAACTTTTATTTTTAAGGTTTCTTTTCTTTACGTTTTTTTAATTTTAAGTTTTATTTCCCAAGGAATGTATGTATGTACACTATATTGCCAAAAGTATTTGCTCACCTGCCTTGACTCACATATGAGCTTAAGTGACATCCCGTTCCTAATCCATAGGGTTCAATATGACGTCGGTCCACCCTTTGCAGCTAGAACAGCTTCAACTCTTCTGGGAAGGCTGTCCACAAGGTTTAGGAGTGTGTTTATGGGAATTTTTGACCATTCTTCCAGAAGCGCATTTGTGAGGTCGCACACTGATGTTGGACGAGAAGGCCTGGCTCTCAGTCTCCGCTCTAATTCATCCCAAAGGTGTTCTATCGGGTTGAGGTCAGGACTCTGTGCAGGCCAGTCAAGTTCATCCACACCAGACTCTGTCATCCATGTCTTTATGGACCTTGCTTTGTGCACTGGTGCACAGTCATGTTGGAAGAGGAAGGGGCCAGCTCCAAACTGTTCCCACAAAGTTGGGAGCATGGAATTGTCCAAAATGTCTTGGTATGCTGAAGCATTCAGAGTTCCTTTCACTGGAACTAAGGGGCCAAGCCCAGCTCCTGAAAAACAACCTCACACCATAATCCCCCCTCCACCAAACTTTACACTTGGCACAATGCAGTCAGACAAGTACCGTTCTCCTGGCAACCGCCAAACCCAGACCCGTCCATCAGATTGCCAGATGGAGAAGCGCGATTCGTCACTCCAGAGAACGCGTCTCCACTGCTCTAGAGTCCAGTGGCGGCGTGCTTTACACCACCGCATCCGACGCTTTGCATTGCACTTGGTGATGTATGGCTTGGATGCAGCTGCTCGACCATGGAAACCCATTCCATGAAGCTCTCTGCGCACTGTTCTTGAGCTAATCTGAAGGCCACATGAAGTTTGGAGGTCTGTAGTGATTGACTCTGCAGAAAGTTGGCGACCTCTTCGCACTATGCGCGTCAGCATCCGCTGACCCCGCTCCGTCAGTTTACGTGGCCTACCTCTTCGTGGCTGAGTTGCTGTCGTTCCCAAACACTTCCATTTTCTTATAATACAGCTGACAGTTGACTGTGGAATATTTAGGAGCGAGGAAATTTCACGACTGGATTTGTTGCACAGGTGGCATCCTATCACAGTTCCACGCTGGAATTCACTGAGCTCCTGAGAGCGACCCATTCTTTCACAAATGTTTGTAAAAACAGTCTGCATGCCTAGGTGCTTGAATTTATACACCTGTGGCCATGGAAGTGATTGGAACACCTGATTCCAATAATTTGGATGGGTGAGCAAATACTTTTGGCAATATAGTGTATGTATGTGTGCGCGTATGTATATGTATGTGTTTATGTATATATATTAGTGCTGTCAATCGATAAATTTTTTTTAATCGCGATTAATCGCATCAATGCCTAAGTTAACTCGCGATTAATCGCATTTTAATCACACATTTTTGTTCTGATTGAAAATCATTTAAATGCTCTCGATGACATACAAAAAATACATACAGGCTAGGTTTGTGCCAATGTTCTTTTTTTAAAATGAAAACAGGTCACAGACACTGATTTATGCCATAGAAACATATGGCAAGAAGATGGGGAGGCATGTAGCAAAAAATAACAAATATGTAGCCAAAAAAAAAGGCCCCGAAAACAGGCTGATGTAAAAGACAGTCTTTACAGTTAATACAGTCTTTTGAACAAAGACAAGCATTTTACCCTACTGCTATAAAATGTAGTAGAGTTAACATTAGATGTCAATTAACCAAGGTAATAATTAACAATTTTCAATCAATACATCAAAATCAATAGACCGACATCACTAGATGGAGGTAGTCTATGCTCTAGAAAGTTACTTTTCAGCCTCTTAACAAAAATGAGAACACACACACCCACCCACCCACACACACACACGATACCGACCTGTGGCGTACACAGACAGCAAGACTGCCGTAGCAGATTCCATTTCACCTCAGTAATCTGTTTTCTCAGCGTACTTCAGGTTGCTACTAGCCACCAGACACTCAACTTGTTTGTTGGTGGTGGGGCTTAAAGAAAAGGCACTAGCGCTACCCAGTGTATGAGCGTCTTTTTTCCTTGAGTAGCTCCACTCTCGAAGCCTATGGAAAATGCATAGACTGGGGGAAAATAGCCCCGCCTTCCCGCAGGCTGCAGCGGGATGTACCGGTACTTGGAAAATTGTACCATAAAACCACATAGCGTTAATCTCACGTTAAAAAAATTATCGCCATTAAAATGGCCTCGCGTTAACGCGATAATAACTCGATAATTTTGACAGCACTAATATATATATATAAAAACTTTATGACCCCATTTTGGATATAAACATTTGACACTTGACATTGTTCTTCTGTTTATTGTTGCCAAGCAGGAGCTTAATCACACCTGGAATTAAAACCTCTGGTTAAATTTTGCTGCGGCGTAGCATAAATTAAAGCAATGACTGATCAAAGTAGAAAGCTGGGATTTGTGTAATTTAGACGTAGGAAGAGTTTATGTGCATGTCGGGTGTATTTCTTAAGTGTTTATGAGACAGAGATAGAGGGGGCTGTCTTCTCCCACTACTGGCTCTGGGGAGATTTAATCTGATTGAAAGCTTGGTACATGTACAGACGCATCATGATCTGATCATTTTATCCGCGTCCATGTAAACAGAAATTTTCAATATCCGATCAACCAAAGTTTAGATCAGATTGGGGAAATTAAGAGTAAAACGCAGCTGTTGAGAGGCTGGATAATCTTGAGAGCGATTAAAAATGTTTCCTGGTGAGGAAACTGATCAATATACAGGTGCTGGTCATAAAATTAGAATATCATGAAAAAGTAGATTGATTTCAGTAATTCCATTTAAAAAGTGAAACTTGTATATTATATTCATACATTACATACAAACTCATATATTTCAGATGTTTATTTTGTTTAATTTTGATGATTACAAATGACAGCAAATGAAAATCTCAAATTCATCATATCAGAAAATTAGAATATTACTGAAGACCAATAAAAACAAAGGATTTATAGAAATGTTGGCCAACTGAAAAGTATGAACATGAAAAGTATGAGCATGTACAGCACTCAGTATTTAGTTGGGCCTCCTTTGGCCTGTATTACTGCAGCAATGCGGCGTGGCATGGAGTCGATCAGTCTGTGGCACTGCTCAGGTGTTATGATAGCCCAGGTTGCTCTAATAGTGGCTTTTAGCTCTTCTGAATTGTTGGGTCTGGTGTATTGCATCTTCTTCTTCACAATACCCCATAGATTTTCTATGGGGTTAAGGTCAGGAGAGTTTGCTGGCCAATTAAGAACAGGGATACCATGGTCCTTCAACCAGGTACTGGTAGCTTTGGCACTGTGTGCAGGTGCCAAGTCCTGTTGGAAAATGAAATCTGCATCTCCAAAAAGTTGGTCAGCTGCAGGAAGCATGAAGTGCTCTAAAACTTCCTGGTATGTGGCTGCGTTGACCCTGGACCTCAGAAAACACAATGGACCAACACCAGCAGATGACATGGCACCCCAAACCATCACTGACTGTGGAAACTTTACACTGGACTTCAAGCAACGTGGATGAAGTGCCTCTCTTCTTTTCCTCCAGACTCTGGGACCTTGATTTCCAAAGGAAATGCAAAATTTACTTTCATCAGAGAACATGACTTTGGACCACTCACCAGCAGTCCAGTCCTGTTTCTCTTTAGCCCAGGCAAGACGCTTCTGACGCTGTCTGTGGTTCAAGAGTGGCTTGACACAAGGAATGCGACAGCAGAAACCCATGTCTTTCATACGTCTGTGTGTGGTGGTTCTTGAAGCACTCACTCCAGCTGCAGTCCACTCTTTGTGAATCTCCCCCACATTTTTGAATGGGTTTTGTTTCACAATCCTCTCCAGGGTGCGGTTATCTCTCTTGCTTGTACACTTTTTTCGACCACATCTTTTCCTTCCCTTCGCCTCTCTATTAATGTGCTTGGACACTGAGCTCTGTGAACAGCCAGCCTCTTTAGCGATGACCTTTTGTGTCTTGCCCTCCTTGTGCAAGGTGTCGATGGTCGTCTTTTGGACAACTGTCAAGTCAGCAGTCTTCCCCATGATTGTGTAGCCTATAGAACTAGACTGAAAGACCATTTAAAGGCTTTTGCAGGTGGTTTGAGTTAATTAGCTGATTAGAGTGTGGCACCAGGGGCCATCAATTTTGAACCTTTTCACAATATTCTAATTTTCTGATATGATGAATTTGAGATTTTCATTTGTTGTCATTTGTAATCATCAAAATTAAACAAAATAAACATCTGAAATATATGAGTTTGTATGTAATGTATGAATATAATATACAAGTTTCACTTTTTAAATGGAATTACTGAAATCAATCTACTTTTTCATGATATTCTAATTTTATGACCAGCACCTGTAAAAGCTGTGAAAACACTGCTGGATACTCATTTATGTTATATAAATGATGCAATCTGGATGATAAAGTACAACTTTTGGTTGTAATGTTTGTCTCTCAGCTGCTCATAGAGAATATGGCGGCGCTGTGGGGCTCACAGCCAGAGTTAACTTATAGCTATATAAATAAATATTAAATTCAATTCAGTTTATTTATATAGCGCCAAATTTACAACACGTCATCTCAAGGCACTTTACAGTTCAACCAGAACATCCAGTCAAATTAATTCAAAGTTTTCTATCTAAGGAAAACCAGTTGATTGCATCGACTCATTGACTGAAATACAATCCCTCACACTAAGCATGCTTTTAGCGACAGTGGAGAGGAAAAACTCCCTTATTTATTTATTTATATATATATATATATATATACATAAGTTATACATAAGTTAACCTGGAACGCCACAACCAGGTAGCTGTCATAGTGTACAGGAACATCTGCCATGAGTATGGGCTGGAAGTCCCAAGGTCAAAATGGAAGACACCTCCTAAGGTAGTTGAGAATGACCGAGCTAAGATCCTATGGGACTTCAAGATCCAGACTGACAAACAGGTGATGGCTAACCAACCAGACATCGTGTTGATCGACAAACAGCACAAGAAGGCAGTAGTGATAGATGTGGCAATCCCAAGCGACAGCAACATCAAGAAGAAAGAACACGAGAAGCTTGAGAAATACCAAGGGCTGAAAGAGGAGCTAGAAAAGATGTGGAAAGTAAGAGCAGCAGTGGTGCCAGTGGTAATTGGAGCACTGGGGGCTGTGACCCCCAAACTGGGAGAGTGGCTACAGCAGATTCCAGGTAAAACATCAGAGGTCTCTGTCCAGAAGAGCGCAGTCCTAGGAACAGCTAAGATACTGCGCAGAACCCTCAAACTCCCAGGCCTCTGGTAGAGGACCCGAGCTTGAGGATGACACATACCACCCCACGAGGGGTGAGAAAACAGTTTTTTTTTTTTTTTTTTTTTATATATGTATATACCGTAAATCCTCTAATATAGGCCCGGGCCTTTATTGCACTCAAGTGCATCGCGGTCCAGGCCTTTATTGGAAAGAGGCCAGAATTAGAGACAGGCCTCTATTGCTATTTGAGCAAAACAGACTACCAGTGGAATGAATAAAAAGGAGATTTTGTGTCTATTTGAACCTATAAAACACTAGGTTCATTTATTGAAAAAGTACAGTTACCAGGTCTCGCTTGGTTTGAAGTAAAAAAGAAAAAAAAAAATCCTCCAATTCTGTTTAATCCCCCTCCTCAGTTTCCTCCTCCTCTTCATCTCTCTCTTTAATCTCATCACTCGCGCTCCTCCTCATGTTCTGCTGCGTGTCTGTTCTCTTCCTCGCGCAGACGGGCAGCAGTCAGGGCCTGTCGTCCAGCAGCGCAGGGCTGTGGTACTTGTATGTTACTACCACAAGTATAATGTTGAGGTATGCCCAGAAAAAACGTTTATAGCCCCGGCCTGTATGAGAGACCGTCCATTATTTACCTCCTCTGACAGCGAGACCGGCCAATGTTAGAGTCCCGGCCGCTAATGGAATACAGGCCAATATTAGAGAATTTACGGTATTCTAAATTTAAGATTGATTTTAATTATTGCGATTCATTATTTTAAATGTATTTGAAATATTTAAGAGACATTGGATTATTTAAAAGTTCATTTCATTATTTTATCTAATGCTTTTAATTGTATTTTTTGACATTCCAATTCTTTTACTTAATATAATATATTTTGGCTGTCTATAAGCCGCAGGGATAAAATCACGTTGATTGATAAAACCATCTCACTACCCCCCCACTGGGTTATTAACCTGTGCTTCTCTTACCTCCTCCAGGTCCAGATGTCAGCCAATAACAGACATGTTTGTAGCCAAGAAGGTGAGTCTAAAATATTCCTCTTTCATAATGAAAACAAATCGATGAAGCACTAAATAAAATAAACCGAGACTTTCTAATCTGATGACATCCTGTTCTTCATCAGTGATTCACAAACTTTTTCTATTTTTACATAGAGTATGCTACGTAGTATACACCATGTGTTATGTATTGAGTACTGTATATAATATAGAATATGATATATAAGCTTTATAGTGTACCACAGTGTATACTAGCGTATACATTATATAGTCATGTATACAGGATGTTATGTGCTATAAATGCTAGAATTTGTATATAGTGTACTCTATACAGCATAAACTATATGGTATATACCGTATAGTGTATATATTGTACACTATATGTTGTAATCAAGGTCCTCAAGTCATTAGAGAAATTGTTACAGTTCTACCGAATACTTCTCAGTCATCCATGAGCTGGATGACTGAGATGACTGACTCAGCATACTACCTAATAATGGACACAATTGGTAATCTAGATAAGGGCTGGATGGTGGTGTAGTTTGTAGCACTGCTGCCTTGCAGAAAGCATTTTCTGGGTTTGATTCCCAGCATAGCATTTGCATGCTTTCCTTCTGCATGTGTGGGTTCTCTCCGGGGACTCTGTTGCCTCCTCCCGCTTTCAAAAATAATGACTAAATTGTCATTTAGTGATGATCTGTATAACATATCTAAGTTAGCATAAATTTAACTTCACATACAATTCTATCAACAAGTGGCTAAGGTCGCTACGTGCTAAGAAGCTAACATAACGTAGCCAGCCTGGATACTAAATGCTATGAAAGTTAGCTAACATCAGTTAGTTTATCATTGGGACATTATAGCCGTTGATTTAATGTTACATAATAAACAACCAATCTTTCTGGTAACTTACCGTAATGTCTTTGTGGTGAACTGCGACGTGTCTCTTCAGGTTTGTTGTGTTTTTTTCCAGCTATCATGTGGCCACATTCCTTCCTTTCGACTAAAATCCTGCATTTGGTTAGGTTCTCCACTTCAATGAAGTGAAAATGTGTCCATATATCACGTCTCCTCTTTCTCCCGAATCCCATGCAAAGTATGTTTTACTTTTAACCTGTTGCCTTGAATTCAGCTCCTGTCTGCTCCATGTAATGTGTAGGCTACTCTGTGCCGCCCGCTCCAGGTTTGAAAGTGGGTGAGCTAACGAGAAAGGCGGAAGAGGAGACAGGATTTGAAAAAAAACATAAAATAATAATATGTAATTTTCGTCTCGTCTTTGTGAACTAAAATGTCCATAGATTTTAGCCCAGTATTTACCGAACTGGATTTTCGTCTCGTCATTATTAGTCCACGAAAATTATTTCTGATTTACTCGCAGTTATTGTTTATTAGTGGGGATTTTCGTCTCGTCTCGTCTAGTTTTCGTTCGGTGAAAAATGTGCTTTGACGAATATATTTTCGTTTAGTTTTCGTTAACGAAATTAACACTAGTAGACACTATAGTGTGTATATATATAGTTTAAATGTTTTATTCTATTTTATGAACCTAAAATCTGTAGTCCAGCGAACACTTTTTCTGTATTTTTAAATCGGTATTGAAGAGTTATAGCTGTTTTTATTTCTTTTTATATTTGTATTTTTCATTTGTAAAATGCTAACATTGTGTTTTTTTTAGTTAGACAATTTTAAGATCTGTCCATGGACAACAGATGAAAAATAGCCTTTTGGCTAATTCTGGTGCATTTGCAGGAATGCTTTTTAATGTACACTGTCCCTTTCAATTATTATACATCAGTACACATGGTATACTAGTGTACACTATATAGTGTTTATAATTTAGTGTATACTACAAAAAAATACACTGCTATTAATATACACAGTATACACACTATATTTATATAGTGTGTAAAATGTATAGTTTATACTGTTTACGGTTGTGTGTAAACTTCTTGATACAGTGATATGGTCATCTGTTAACTGTATTTTTGATTGACCATGAATTGGCTTCAATGAACACAACAAAGAACCTTCTATACAAACTAAATATTACTAACATGTGATTTTATTTTTAAAAAGTTGCCTTGTTGTCTACAAAGTTGTCTAAATTTTGGTCAGAAATGCCAGATTTTTGTTTAGTGAATTTACTGTTTCAATGTAGGAAAGATTAGCCAGAAAAGGGAAAGGAAGCTTAGCGACCTCGTTTGAATCATGGACTCTGTCATTTCTCCCAGTCCAACAACAGAGCCTCCAGCGTCTTGGTCTCATCTCCACAGAACCGTCTGACTCGAAGCAAATCATGTGACAGCTTGTTGCTCGTCAGCTCTGGTAGGTCGTCGCAGATGCCGGTCCTCCTGCAGCGGCGCCATCACAGCGTGACGCTGCCGATCATCCGACATCAGCCGGCGCCTCTTCAGAAAGGTGAGCCGATGTGTGAGTTTTAACAGTACAACTAGTTTCTAGGATTAGGGGCTTGAAAATGAATTGAGGTCAATGCTTGGTCCTTGTTGAGTATTTAAAATGGTGATTTGTATGTTCGATCAGCTGCAGGCAGGTTTTCATCATCGTCTCTGGCTGACAACAAGCTTCGTTCCATTCAGAAAGTGGCATCACGCTGCACTGCCTTGGACAGGTAAAAACACACACCTGGTGCCATTTTGAAGTCTCTTTCCCGTGTCATTGATGATGCTGTTTGGTAAATAAAATGAAATCACTTGTCCGTCCCCCCTCAGTGACATCACAACGTCCCTCTCGGGTAAGCTGTCACAGCTGGAGGAGGTTCTTCATCAGCTCCAGCTGGAGCTCCTAAAGGTAAGCAGGGCTCCACCGGGTCCCCGTCACTGTTTTGCACTTTTTGCTTATGTTTATTTATTTGAGTTCTTATGTATTCTCTGTCGCCCTCTTGTGTCAGTCTCCTTCCCCTTGCTCCCTTCTAGATTCTTCTGTCCACATCTGCTCCCAATCAGTTGATTACCCCAGTTTTTGTTCTGTTTGGCATATATACTCCTCCTCTTCAGTTAGGGCCCTGTCGCACCTTGCCAATTTAGTCAGCATATGCCCGACGTCCTAGAATCTCCTCAAATACTGGCATACTCTGAACTTTCTTTGTATTTTTTTCAACTTTTGGCGTATACATAGCGTATTCATTAGGGATGGAACGGTTTTTGAAAACGGTCCGAACCGTTCGGTTCGACTGTCTCGGTTCGGTTCGCGTGTGTTTCGTTCGGTTCATGCGCTGCTCCTTTTTCTCATAGGCGAAGCGTGTACACTCCAGAGCAGAAGGTGGCGGTACTGCGACCAGAGCCAACCACCAGTAGTAAACAAGAAGAAGAAGAAGCAAAGCAGCGTAGCCGGGTGTAGCAGAAAAAAATCAGTTGTTGTGGAGAATTGTGTGGGTATGGCGAGTGGGAAAGAACAGGAGTTGGAAGACGCGCCAGCAGCACTTTATAGGTCTGCTGTATGGGACCACTTTGCATTTAGAGTGACCTACGATGACGGTGGAAAGAAAGTTGTGGATAAAAGTGCAACAGTGTGCAAGCATTGTGCAACACGTTTTGTTTATACCAACAGCAACATGACCAACATGTCAGGCTAACCCCGAAATCCCACATACTCCGTCAGCGCTCCGCCCCGCTGCGCTGCAGACCGCCTGCGCAAAGCAAAGCCTACTGCCTCCGCTGTGGCTCCCGTCTGCTCCGCTCTGAGTTCCTTGGAGATCGTAGAGGGCATGCGCGAAATGATTAAATTCAAAGCAGCAAAACATTCGGAAATGAATCAGGGTTTCCACGGATCATTAAAAATAATTACAATTCATTAATTTTTTGGGATGTTTTCATTAATTTCCTTAATTTTTATGGGATTTCAGTGTAACAATCAACATATACCGAACCGAACCGAAAACCGTGACCACGAAACCGTGAACCAAACCGAACCATGGATTTTGTGAACCGTTCCAACCCTAGTATTCATAACCATTCCAGAACTTGTGTCCAATGACAGCCTAACTTATGCATAACAGACAGCGTAATGCCCATGAAATGATGCTTCTGCATCCGTTAAAGCTGCTCCCCTTAGACCCAGAGGTTCCCATTCTGCATAAAAAGATGTCTTTGATCGCGGCATTAACCTAGCTGCTGTTTACCGCCTGCACAAAAAAAAGAATAAATTAAAAGAAAAAGAAAGACCGAAGGTTTGCCGTCGCAGCAGATTCAGCGTCATATGTGGACCTGAACACAGGGAGGATCCATCACACTCACCTTCTCACTCACCCTATGATGGGGATGCAGTCTGGAGGAGAACTGAAGTTTTCCTCCTGTGAACACTCTTTTATACCAAAATGCTGCCAGTACGCCAATTATACAGTGTCACTTTTCTACATGTGCACTCAGCTGAGCTGACCTCATTCAGAATAAACTGATGCTGACATGCCTTTAAATGCACGTTGGTCGGACTCCAACCACCCCTTTCAGTCAGAATACATTTTAACTCAGATACTGACGAATACGATAAGAATATTCGGACACGTTTTTAGTCTGATCGGCCGTTTATTCTGATTACTTATCTCTATGAAAACATGGCTATAAATGATACTTTAAGTGGTAAATGCTAGCACAAATGGTCCTTGAATTTGAAGAAATCGGTTCTGAAAGGTCCTTGAAAAATGCTTGTATTTGATGTTGACGGTGTGAACCTGTGTTCACATGATGTGTTCAGGAGCAGCAGGACAAGGCGGCGCTGCAGGAGCAAGTTCTGAACCTCCGTCAGGATAACCTCCGTCTGCAGGAGGAGAGTCAAAGCGCTGCCGAGCAGATTCGACGCTTCACCTCCTGGATGGTGCGCAGAGGATCGTTGCCATAGCAACACAACCAACTACAGCAACTCGGCTGTGAAGATGACCAATCGGGACAGCCCACTCCTCCTGTTAGCAGGACTGTTTTGGATTTCCCTGGAAAAAGAAACCCAGAACAAATATGTTTACAAGTTATGAACTTTTTTTTTTTTTTAACTCAGCTATCTGTTATCAGGCATCAGAGCAGAATCGAGCCAACATTTCCAGACGTGATGTTACAGAACTGACGGCCCTCTGGTTAATTAGGGCTAAAGTCTTATGTCGTGTCAAAATTTGAAAGCTGTTTAAAGTGTATACCTGCTGGATGTTGTTATAGTTTCTCCCAACATTAAAATAAAATGACTGTGATAATTATTGTGGTATCAGTGGTTTGGGATGAAGTGGGCCCCCAATGTTCGCCTCATGGTCGGGTTGGACCTGCTGGATGCATATGCTGAGTTCGAATCTAGTGGCTCATCATTGCATGGCGCCAAGGCCTAATCGGATTGGAAGACTCCCCTTTATGCGGCAGACAAATGCAGCCTTCTTTTTGCCAGTTTTAAAGGATGGGTCCGGTGTATCTTACGTAACCTTGTGTATCCCATGATTCACTGCAAGTCCAAGCAAGCCACCTGCTCCATGCTCGGAAGAAAAAGTTAAATGGCGACGAACAGTGGTGAATATTGGAAATTCGGCTTAATATAGTGCAAGTATGTGAATAGTTCTGTCTGAAATTAATGAAAATTGTTGTTTTAAATGGTTATTGAATCAGATATGCAGCGGATAATGTTTGATTTATTGAAAGGTTTTTATCTGTCCCTGTGCAAATGGGTTTGGCAACATTTAACAGAGATTTCAACATCTCTGCAGTGTTGGGACTATAAATCTGATATTCGCCACAACGGTACTGCTGCTGAAGCTTTTCGATAATGTTATTAGCACCCAGAGCATTATTGAGAAGTTCAGTATCTATTCTTTGCCTGCTTTAGCGTGTCCCTTCATCGCCATGCAGATCAGATTCTAATATCCAACAGCGAAAATTAATGGATAAACAAATTTAAATATTTAAAGTGTTCAAAGTTATTTTCCAATGTAAATCAGGTCTGAAAGTGAACATCTCTCACTATAAGAGGGATCTTTTTTCTTAAATGTTCTTTAAGGTGCTGTGCATGGAACAGTTTCGGTGTATATCGGGACAAACTGCTGCTAGGAGGACTTGGTGGAGGTAAATTCAGATCCCAGAGCCCCTTTTGCTGTGAATCTGACATTGGATTCTATCTTTGTTGAATATTTGGCGGCGGGTCAGTCAGGCGACAAAGGCAACTTTTTCATGTTTTATAATTTTTTTTTTTTTTATTTCAACTGGCATTTCAATCTCATCAATTTATTTTTACTTTGTATGTAGCACTTTGAAATAAACTATGTGAGATGTATGCATTTTATTTTGAATTTTATCGGCTATATCACATTTTGTCATTATTACCTCCAGCTACATGGCTTAGAGCCTCATCTTTCTTTTACGCCCAAACTGCCTGTATCAAACTCAATCTGCTCATTTTAATAGGCGGGACAAAGTTGGTTTGCAGGTCTTAATGTTTGTGAAGCATTTTTCGTAGATCACCTGCAACACACCAACTTATTGGATGCAAAAAATAAAGTTGCACATGCAATTTAGCTCTCTTAACAATCTTTAAAGATCAGGCCTTCGGGCTTATTTTCTTGCTTAAGGAAGTTAGAGGTGGACTTTCTGGTGAGCTTAGGATCCAAATGTTGCTGAAGGTTCCAACTTAACTTCGGATTGAGGTCACAAACTGAAAGCTTGACATTTTCTTTTTAAATGCTGGTGAAGATTCTCTGTCATCCAGGTCATACTCATGTTAGAAAAGTTATGAAACAAACCACATTGTTTTCCAAGTTTGAAGACGTTTCACTTCCCATCCAGGAAGCTTACTCCATTCAAAATGTCTGGATTAGCGTTGAGTTTCATGCTTTGTAGACTAGCTCAACAAAAGCCTTGTTATGGCTTAGAAAGCATGCAAATTGAACCGAAAAAAACAGGTCGACCCCTTAGTAACGGGGGGTCATTGAGATCACTGTTTGACCTCTTTCTGGATGTTTTGGCAGAACTCAGGTTAGCATAGCAGCTCCATGCTTCACCAATATCAGCATCTTGTTTGACTGCAGGTGTGATGATCAGCAGCAGTTCTGGCCTTTAAACTCCAGTTTATTCATGACCTCTGACCTCAATTGACACATCTATTTCTACCTCCTGAATGGATTATTACTTTGCTTTTGTAGTACTTTGGTAGGTCAGCTCCTCCTAGACAGTCTTTAGTCTCTGTTTCACGTTGTGTATGTGTGGATAATGGTTCTCACATTGGTTCTCTGGAATCTCACTGATTTAGAAAAGAATATATTGTCATTGTCTTGATTCTGTTATATTTTACTTTGCTCAATGTTTTGTAGTTTTATTGGTTTAATTCCAATTTTGTTGTATTTTCTGGATATATTTGAGTTCTAAGGTTTTTATTTGTTCCCCACTGTTTACCTCTTATGTTACTCTCCTTTTCCCTACCTCCTTTCTTTGCTGCTCTGTTCACACCTGCTCCCAATCTGCTCGTTAGTTCTCGCTTTTTTCAGTCTCACATGAATACACTCCTTGTGCAGTTCCTCAGTGCCGGTTCCTCGTCTTACTCTGTCCTACCTCGTCTTTCCCTGGCTCCTTGTGATTATTTTCCCTTGATGTCTCCATGGTTCCGGTTTGTGTTACATTTTAAGTTGGATTTTTGCCTCAATTGTTGTTTGTGTTTATTATTTAAAATGCAAGAAATCACCTCAGCCTCTCTGCCTCTGCATTTGGGTCCTCTCAATCTCAACCTAATGGTGACATATATAACCCTATTCCAATTGATCTCCGATGATTTCTGTTTTTGATAATCGTTTGGTCTACTTCCTTCTGTCAGAGACCTCATATTTTAGTTTAGTTTTGGTTGTGAAATGGGCATTAAGCTGCGATTTCTGTTGAAGTCCATCTGTGAAGAAATTACAGTGCTGCCATTTGTCAACATTGGTTAGATTGAACTACTGGTTTAATTTACAGTAGCAGGCAAAAGCCAGATACTTTTGGTCATATTTTTTCTTTCATGTTGCAGATGTGAAAATGCCAAAAATGTAAAGGAGAAGAAGAGAGAACACCCTTGAAATATATGTGAAAAGAAAAATACTCTGTGAGATCTGTGGCAAAGTGGAAGACTGCAACAACTCATTAAGTAGAGTGATGCAGAAAAAACAGAAGATGAGGGTTACAGTGGAGCAGCAGGATGCAAAGAGGGTATTTACAGCAGAGATGTGAAGACCCTGATAAAGAGCTGGCTGAATGCATGAAAAATACTCACTGCCTTCATTTCAAAGCTAGAAGTTTGCATTAAATCAACATCCCTGCCTCTAATGACTCAGAGTTAACAGTAAAGCAGGTACAGAGAGCAGGACGTCACATTATAGAGTTGGAAAAATTCAAAGTTTGATCCTCATCCATGCATATTTTTATTGCACATCTTTAAACTGTAGTAAAATTGTAAAGGGATCACTTGGACGTCAATTGGATCAACTTCATGTCTTCATTTCCTAATATTTCCATAGCTGTTCTTCACAGAATCATTCTTCTGTTTCCTTATGTTTTCATCATACTCTTGTGCCATTTAATTTCGCTTGTAGAACCGACAAAATGTGGCCCATCTTATTCCATTTTCAGAATTAACGCCTGATTAAAATCAGAACTTCTGAGAATCGAAGCAATTAAGGCAGAGCTCATCTAAAATTGATGACTCATGTTCCTTACAGGGAGACTTTCTGGTTCTATTGATGTTAACATCTTCCTGTTGTTTTTATGTGATCTCTTCTGAGCTTTTTTTTTCTTACACCAGTTCCTGTTTTTTAAAGGAAAGCTGGTTTATTTATTCAACACGAAGGACAGAAACATTTCTCTGAATAACTCTCTGCTCTCCTTCCTCTCAGCTAAATTCTGTTCACAGTATGAATAATTTAAAATTGGATTCTTTTAGCTTTTATCCCCTCAGAGTTGAACTTGTTCAATCAATGTGACACCGCCTCCTTGTGGAAGTCAGTGGCCAGTTTGATGTGAATTAAATCAGTTGCACACAGATAAAAGGAAGAAAAATTGTTTAACAGATGAATAATGATGATACATTTTAATTTGTATGTATTTAGTTTTTATGAAATCTAAAGGGCTACATTATTAATCAAGCAAACAACAACCAAAACTGCAAGGGAAAAAGAGTAGAGTTCAATAAAAAGCTCTTTTAAAAAAGTGGATTTTTAGACATGTTTAAAATGATCCAGTCTGTGGTGTCCTCTGCTGCTCAGTAAAAGAATTTCACAGACAATAGAAGCTGAACAGATAATCTAAATGAACTAAAATCAGCAGAAATAGGATTTTGGTGGCATGAAGTTTTGCAGGATGTTTACGTCCTGGCCTAAGAATATTCCCCCCAACAGTCCAGTGCACTGCTCCCTAAGGGGATAGGTTAGATGCAGACGACCAACTTAAGTCAAATGCACTAATTTTGCTGTTGCATTAGAAGATAATTAGAATTAGGATTATATAATAGAAACAAATGGAATTCCTGAAGTTTTAACCTAATAAGTGGATTTTGGACAAAACCTACACCAGGGTTATAAATCTGCAACATGTATTGGCATTTGTAGATCACATTTTTTATGTTATATGGTTACTAAAATTTTCAAAACGGCTGAAAATACATAAAAGTGCTGAAATGCACAAAATGCAAAGGAAAAACACTGCATGAGAAATGCTACAATAAAAATACCCAAAAAATAATCCCAAAAAACTTAGATTAACTTAAACTGACCCTTTAATACTGATTTAACACCAAAGAGAGTTGCAATCATAGAAAGCCAATTAGGCCATAGGCTAGCTCTCAGAAAGTGGCTAGAAAGTGAGTTCCGTTCCAGCATCTTGGGTAATACTTTTTATTATTGTTTTCATGAAGTAAAATAGTTCATCTTCTTTGAAAAAAAGTTCCACAAGCAGGCATCCTGCAGTTAGTGAGTAATCGTTATTTGAAGTTGGGTAATACATGAAAAACTGGACATTTTAGCCTCTAATAGCATCTTTGACTTCTATTATCTCTAAAAGTAATAAAGCCAAACACTTCAAACTTGGTAGATCTATGGAGGGTCTTACAAATATTCAATCTCTAAAATATCGGCCGGATTGGAGCAGTGGTTCTAGAGGAAACTTATTTGGAAAATTCCTGAAATGTTTCCATTTCTGGCCTCTTATAGCATCTTAGACTCCAATTAATTAAAGGCAGCTGCAGGGAAACTGGATTGTACAAACACAGCTCTGTGCTAAGGTAAGAACTAATACAGACCAGCACTTTTCATTTACTTTAGTGGATGAATTATTTTTCAAAATGTGTTTATAATCTATTAATTTTTTAATTAATATTTTAAATTTATTTTATTCCAAATTTTATTTTTATTTAGATTGAGTTTAACGATTTGAATTATTTTCAAATCACATCCTGTTCTCTTTATTTCTAGCCCAATACAAAAGCTTCTGACCAATAAAAATGTTGTTGCTAATGTCAAGCAATGGGACTGCAATGATGGCAGGAAGGGATCAACTCAATTGCTGCATTGTAGGTTTTTGAAAGCTGAAACCTGAGTCCACACCCTGTGTTTGATGTTGGTTTTTCTTTCTTAACATAGATGGCTTCATCCACGCCCCGCTACAATCTTATTTCTGACATTTTGAATTAAAAGAGCTTCCTGGATGGGAAGCGAAACATCTTAAAACTTGGAAACAAAGTCCATTAGATTGTATTTAACTTTTTTGCAATGACTACGACCTGGATGACTGAGAATCACCAGCAGATCTGGAAAACACTACTTGAAAAGAATGCATATTATTATCCTCAATCTGAACAATAGACATCTGAAAACTTGAATTAAACTAAAATAAAAATGGGTAGACAAATCGCAAGATAAAATAAGATTCAGTTTTTGAAAAAAAAAAAATTAAAATTTCTGAAAAAACAAAGTTACTCTCACAACCTGTTTTCGATTAAGAAGGTTTTCAAAAGCTTTATATCTGGATTGCATTTTTTCAAATTTCCATTTACAAAATGTATTATCTGTCTGCAACAATAATGAGAGAAAATTAACATCATGCATGTCCTGGTGATGCAATGGTGACTTTAATGCTCAAGAAAGCAAAAAGACAGTAATGTACTTGAGATTTTAAGATTTTAGATCTTTTATTTCTTAATTTCTTCCATATTTATACACATTGCTGCTCTTTTTAAAAAGTTTTGATAAATGGATGTGAAAAACAAATTAAGAGTCTTTGGTAATCTGACAGTTTTTAATGCACAGGTGTTAATGAGAAAGTTTCTTCACAAAATATTAGTTAAGATGTACCACAGGTGTGGGATAAATTTCCAGGAATACTGATTTTACTCACTGATATTCCACCATAAATCCTGATCATTCAAAGACCTTTTTGTACCAAGACCCCTTTAATCCCATATCAGTTTTAAGAGATGATACAAGAAACTTTCTTTTCTTTTTTGATATTGAACTGAAATGGTTTTAATTGGTTGCAGTTTGGAAAGTCTCAAGTTTATATATATTTTTTTAGAATTTCGTTTCTTTCCTTTGTAGAGTTTAAACAACTGCTCATTAATTAACCATTTGACACCGTTGATGAGCTGCAGGCTGATGATCTTGTAACTATAAAGCAATCAGAGCATGCTCAGTAGCGAGTAGAAAACCCCGTGATCTCTGGTTTAGAAATGTCTCTTTCATTGGAGAAAACGGCTCGGTCAATTCGAGAGCTTGGACTACCAACGTTCTGCAGCCAAAGTTTCCTGCAAAACACAAAAAGAGAGTTTGACTCATCAGCACTGTTTGTCTGAGAAACTAGAACTCTGATAAAAGTCTGAATCCCAATGCAATTGAATCCCAAAACTACTGATGGATACTAAAACACCTACTTTCTATAGTGATTGAGGGGTTAGGAATTTGTGGGGACGTTCGGGTTGGGCCATTGATACCAGTGTTGCACCAATACGGATACCAGTATCGGCGAGTACCGACAAATTTTGAGAGCCAAAAGTTTATTCAGCTACTGTCACCTATTCCAGGTAGGAAATAAAAAGTTCTACAGGATTCACTTTCTATTAGTGTTTTTCCTGCTTCACAAAGGTAGGCAGCAGCTTGACTACAGTAAGCCATGATGGCAATTATTTTACATCCAAGCAGTATGCAGTTCTTCATATATACACACACACATCAATTTCAAACAGACGGTATCGACCGATACTGCACAGCCAGGTATCGGGCCAAAAAAAAATGGCATCGGTGCAATACTAATTGATACCCGACAGAACACACCTCTCCTGAACTCTCACACATCTCATAACAGTAAGCATCTTTGTTAAAGCAATTAAAGATTTTGTATTGCTTGGTTATAATCAGAAATAAAATTTGTTATATTTAAACTGTAACTGTCACCTGATGGTTTTGTGTGAAGCTAAGAGTTCTCTGTCAGGATGTCTGGACTCACATGTCGTTGATTCTATCAGCCGGTCCCTGGATCTGGCCAATCACTGTCCCCTGTCTGGTGTTCTTCACCCAACCACTGAGTCCCAAACTGCGACCCTGATCCTCAGTGTACTGAGAGCCAGAAAAAGAAGGGAATTGGTCTTTATCCATTTCACAATACTGTTTTCATTATGTCAGGAGCTGAGTGGGCCATGACTCACTTGCAGGAAATCTGATCACTGTCAATATTATTATTCAATGAGCTAATAAGGCAGATAAATAAATCCACCTGCTCCTTCATAATCTCTGAACTCGGGTGGGGCGACTGATTGGCTTTGCAATATGATCCCAATTTAAAAAAAAAGACTATTTCAAATCACAGGAGTATTCGGTTTTAATCACATTACATTTAACAGAATAAGAGAGTGACTTTTGCACTCCAGCCCTTTAGGTGTTAGTATGATTAAAGGTCCTATATCCTGCTCTTTTATGTCACTCATGGTCATTTTCATTATTCTTTCATTCATGAATTGAAAAAAAATTAAAAATTCCTTGGAAAAAAGCCCCAAAATTCTTAAACTTTAATTTCCTTTTCTTTCTTTTTTTCCACTTTTCCATTTACAAAATGTGTTCTTTATTTGCAACAATAATGGACTAAAATTCACTCTATACAGGACATTCTCTGGCTTTAGCTTCTCCTGAATCTATAGCCTACTTTAAATAAGTTAGAGATGGAAAAAGTCTGAAAATAAATGTATCTAATAATCATTACTAAGTCCAAGTGTGAAGCTTTTATCTCTTTTTGTGAAGGTTCAAAGGAATGTTGCTGACAGGTTGGATGGATCCAATCTTCCTCTGACTAGTTGCCATCCGGACATGATGTTTATCTAATTCACTCTCATCTTCGGTCATCCCATCCTTGAAGGTTTGTAAGATTTTTATTGGTTCTGTTCTGCTCTCAAATTTGAAAGAGATTGAATAAAATTTCCTGATTTTGCTTTTTTTTCAATGCAACACTTTAGATCTTTTTAGATTTTTACCCCAATTCCAGCTGTTTAAAAATAAAAATTGAGTAAAAAACGATCATCGTCATGGTGGTGTTGATGGAATAGATGAAACTCACCATCCTGAAGCAAACACCTGAACAGGCAGAACAAACTCAGTCACTTTCATGAAACCATTCCCCAAACTGCAAGAACTCAGACATTTCAGGTCATGTGACTCACCCTGCACATTGCCAAAAATCTCAAAGTCAACTGAAACCAGTTTGTCTTCAGGCATGACGAAGCTAAAGACACATAATATCAGCACACCGAGCAGCATGTCACTACGATTATTTTTATCCTGATATTTGAACCTGCTCTCCTTGCTGCTATAATAAAAGCTTCTTCCTGTTACAGCCTTCAGAATAAAAGCCTTAAAGAGGACGATTCTCCCTGAAGCTCTATAACCCAAACTTTGTCCACATACCTCTTTTTAAAATTAGTATAACAAAATGATAATAAACACACTTCACAGCATAACAGGTTAAGGAAGCAAAAACAAATGACACCTACAGTAGTGTTATTAATGGACACTTATAATCTATCCACATAATGGGTGTAATTCTTCAATCTATCCTTTGTTTATAATCTCCATCTGTGATTCTGCATATTTATACAGTTGAAGGGAAGGGTTCATTTGAAGAATGGTTATGTTTCAGTTGGTAAATTTTTCCTCTGCATTTTTGGGACACCCATTCACTAAGATGTTGCATTTGAAATAAAATTCAGCTAAACATTCAAAAAAAGAAAATTAAAAAATATCTACTGGACTTTGTTTCTAAAGTTTGAAGACGTTTTGCTTCCCATCCAGGAAGCTTTTTTAATTCAAAATGTCAGGAATAGAGTTGAGTTTGAGGTTTTATAATCAGTGTTGGGCACGTTACTTTGAAAAAGTAATTAGTTATAGTTACTAGTTACTTCTCCCAAAAAGTAATTGAGTTAGTAACTGAGTTACTCCACAATAAAAGTAACTAGTTAGTAGTAAAAGTAACAATTGCGTTACTTTTGCGAGTGTATGAAATTAATAACTCGGGATATCTAATTCTGAAATCCTGTGTTTGGGTTGTTATAGATACTACAACATGTAGCTATACTGTATCTATCTATTCCATCCATTCATCCATCCATCCATCCATATTTCTCCCTTTCTCAATATAGGCTAATGATCGTTCACGCTCTCCGTAGTTCCCCTGTGGCGCGAGCACAGGGCGGCTGTTGCGCGCCTTTAGCGAGCATGCGCGTTTCCTGTTGCTTGCGCGGTGAATCGTGCCGCCTGCGCTGTGCGGAGATGCAGGGGAAACCGTATCTGATGGGGAAACGCAGCTCGAAGTAACACCAGTATTTCCATCTGGAAAGCGCTGTTTTGCCGCTGGAGTCCTCCTCACTCTCCAACCTCCTCTCTCTCGTGACACGTGCACGAGTCCTATCATGAAAAAAGGTTAATTTTGCGACCTGAGTAACGCGCAGTAAAGGGGTGTCGGCATTTGTAACTGCATTATAGTTACAGTAAGAATAATAATTTTGATTACTCGTTACTAAAAAAGGTAGCGCAGTTAGTAACGCCGTTACTTTCAACGTCGTTACTCCCATCACTGTTTATAATACCTACACATAAAACCTGGAACTCCACGCTATTCCAGACATTTTTAATTGATCTAATCCAAAAAAAATTGCCTGCTTATACGTAAAATTTTTCCGTGTTTATTCTCAGTCCAGGAACATAACAGGGGCCAGGACCAGTTCTACAGTGGCCCATGTGCCGATATGATCTGAATCCAATGCAGATGTGTTTTTTTTTCACAATCAATTATGTTTTTTCTTTATTTGAGTATATGTTAGTACCCTGCCCTCATCTTGAGACCAAAATTTGTAATAAACAAAACATTAGACATGTCCCCTGCTAAACTATGATATGATATATTGTCAAACAGGCTAAAATGCTCCCGGTGGAATAGGTTGCCATGGACGATCCGCGGAAGATCCTCGGACGCTCTGTGGCATTAACGCGTTTGGTAGAACCCTTGGGTACGGCTCTGTTTGGTAAGCATACTATTCCACAGGGGAAGCTCAAGCACGTTCATGTGGACTTGGGGAGTCCGTTTACCCCATCCAGAGGGTTAATCTATCTTAATCTCGTGGCTGAAGGGGCTTCCCTGTGATCTCCCACCTCGGTTGACGCTTCTTGGGTGTTTATCTTCTCCTGGGCGTTGTGTTTTGGTGTGCCGGACTTCTGATAGGGGCCCCAGTTTACTTCAGAGTTGTGGACTGCAGTTTTTAGAGCCTTGGAGTTAAGCTGCACTGTGATGCCACCTGCCGACCAGTGGCCTTTGTGAAAAATATCACCAATAACCAAAGGCTCAATCAACTTGAATTCAATATCAGTTTATTTATATAGTGCAAATTCACAAACATGTTAACTCAAGGCACTTGACAGAAACCCCTGCCTTGGGTCCTGTTTGCCTTGCGTTCAGCTCCTAAAGAAAACCTGAGGTATCTGTGAAGATTCTCAGTCATTAAAGGGATAGTTCGGGATTTTTGACATGAATCTGTATGGCATCCCCATCACCAGTGTCATGCAATCACACTGACTTACCCCTGGCAGCATCCTGTGAGCAGAGTTCTCGTCCAGCTTTGGTCAAGCCGAAAGTAGTCCGGCAGGTTTGCTAGACCCAGCGAAATAAAACGTTTCTCTTCCCAAAACATTATGTGTTCAAAAGAGTGATATTTTTGCATCCCAAAAACATTGTAGTGGAAAAAGTCACACGTCGTTATCACTTGGTCCTATTTTCTCTCTGTTCGTATCAGTGCGTGCGACACCATGACCTGACAGCTAGGGCCTACTAACCTGACAACAGCCAGATGCATGTCTCGCTGTTGTTGAGCTCGCTGTCAGAATGACGGCGCGCACTGATACGAACAGAGAGAAAATAGGACCAAGTGATAACGACGTGTGACTTTTTCCACTACAATGTTTTTGGGATGCAAAAATATCACTCTTTTGAACACGTTTTGAACACAGAAACGTTTTATTTCGCTGGGTCTAGCAAACCTGCTGGACTACTTTCGGCTTGACCAAAGCTGGACGAGAACTCTGCTCACAGGATGCTGCCAGGGGTAAGTCAGTGTGATTGCATGACACTGGTGATGGGGATGCCATACAGATTCATGTCAAAAATCCCAAACTATCCCTTTAAGGTCATGGTCAAGCTTGATAACTTCAATTTAGGCAACTGGAATTGAAAGCAAAAAGAAAAAAAATAGAAAACTTCACATCCTGTTGCCTAGAATGAAGTTTTCAAGCAAGACCTGAGGTCTTCTTCAACTGAGTTGTATGCTGGTGAAGATTCTCAGTCATCCAAGTGATAGTCTATCGGTAAAAGTTTAAAAAACAATCCACTGTCTGTCAATGACATTTTGAATTGAGAAAGCTTCCTCATTGGCGAAGCATCGCTGCCTCCCTTGGTTGCTTTTGTAAAAGCATTTTCCATCCATCCATCCATCCATCCATCCATCCATCCATCCATCCATCCATCCATCCATCCATTCTCCCTCCCTCTTCCACTTATCCAGGGTCAGGTTGAGGGAGTAGCAGCCAGACTTCCCTTTCCCCAGCCACCTGGGCAAGCTAGTCTGCGGGAATGGGACGGTCCTGAAATACCTCACCATATTTTATATTGACTGAGTCCCTATCTATCCACCATGACACACACTGTTCACTTACGATTGTCCTTTTCTTATTTTGGAGAGGGAGCCTATGGAGTTTTGGAGTAATCACAAATGTGTTTCTGTGGACTATTTGAAACCATGTTCCGATATAACTCAGCGGAATTAGCACAACCGCCACTCTGGCTGTCCTTACTGTTTCAGGGTTCACCTGAAACAGCTGAGTGTGTCATGATCTGGCCTGTTTGCTCCTCCCTAATTAGTAATTCCTTTCACCTGCCGTTTTCCCTCCCTGCCTTAAATACAATTTATTCCTCTCACCTGTTTCCTCTGGTTTAAATTCAGTTCAGCCTGAGCATTCAGGGCCAGATCATTAATTGTCTTTCTGTTAGTCTGTCTGTTCAGTTTTAGTTCATGGTTCATGTCCTGGATCCTAGCAGCCAGTGGAAAGAGGGTTTTAGTGTTTGTCTCGTCTCCTGATCGTCCACTGTTCCTCCCCCGCGGAGTCCTCTGGGTTTTTGGCTCAATATGGGGGGAGGTTCAGTTTTTATCCAGTAAGCCTGGCTCCAGCGAGGAGACCAGTTTAAAGTCCTGCTTCAAGTTCTGGTTCCTACGTCCTGTCTCGGCTACCCTCTTCCACTGAGCCTGCCTGTCTGCACCTGATCCTGTCTGCTCCTGTGCGTGACCACCTGGTCATGCTTCTGGTCCCAGTCAGACTCTGAACCCTCCTGGGAGCCTGTGGATGCCTGGAAGTCTGGATCCTGCCACCTGTTTCTGTTCCTGCCTGATCTGGATTCTGCTTGCTCTGTCTGTTCTGGATCCCTCACCAGGACCAGCTTCCAGCATCACCTCTGGGACTGCAGCACTTGGGAACATTCTTGTTCTGGACTGTTAAACCAGGTAAGTGACCAACTCAGATAATCTTCTGTCAGATGATCGTGGTCACTTAACTGTGTTTCTCCCACTACAGAGTGTCTGAGATTGGGCGGTGCCCCAACCCCCGCCTGCAGTGTCCACGAGCCACAGCTCCACTTTTTTTTTGTTTTATTTAATAAACGTTTGAACTTTCCTACTGACTTTCTCTCCTTGAATACTGGGTCCATCTGTCTTCATTTCATGACAGACTGTTGAGAGTTTTCTGTAATCTTGACTTTGTTGGAAGGTACAGTAGTTCTGATTAAAGCAGGACTCAGCAATATTTTTATCTCTTCTTTACATGGACTGTCGTGTTCTTTTTTTAAACTATATGTTCATGTTTCTGTTTTTTTTACTCTTGATTTTCTTTTTTATTTAAGTTTGATTCATTCCTTTTCTTAAGTCTGTCTTTGCCATTCAGATTTATTTATTTGCATTTTAACTTTTAAACACTCTGATTTCAAACTGATGAAAATTACCTTTAAAGATATAGTAGGCTTGATGTTAAATATCAGACGTTCTTTATATTCTGGAACAGTTTATAATGTTCCAAGTTTAAAATATTTAAATATACTTAAAAAAACACATAATAAACAGCACCATCGTTAGAAAAGGTGTAAAATACGTCATTATGTTCATCCTTGTTATATCAGCCAACAGATCTTCATCTGGTCATACCCAGTATAACAGTCAACCAGTTACGACGGATCGCTTTAAGGTAGAAAATAAAGTCCAGTCCATTAAAAGAAGATTAATATGAAGGTGTCCCAGTTAGACCAGTGCCCTGAACAGGAAGGAGGCAGCAGCTCCTGAAGCCAAACCCAGAGACAGGAAGAAAGCCATTATAGCTCCAGCAGTTTCCGCTTCATGAGGTAGAACCTTCCTGCAGAACATCAAAACAAAATGTCAGTGTAAGAGGTCATATTAATATTTGAAACTTATATATACATTGTCTGCCACATCAATCTACTTCAATTTTAGAAAATGTATAATGTCTGGTTGCTTTAGCAGACTTATATACATTATTGCTTTATGTCAAATATCTCATTGGCTTCTTCCTAAAAGCCAATCAGAGTATTTTGGAATATGTTACTGTTGCCCTTTTAGGAACAAGGACGCCGCTCTATAAGATTTGAGCTGTGAAGGGAAGCGAAGTTGAAAAAACTTAAATACTTTCTAAAGGTGATCCCAGTGACAGGAGGACACGTGTCAGCCTCCAAGAGTAGAGTTGGCACTAAAAATCGATTGGATCCACTTCTAAAATTTCAGTTTCTCCCAGAAATCAAATATTTAATTTTCGAGTCCTAATTTTGATGCCACGCCTGCAGGCAAAAAAGTAGCCATTAAATAAAAGCAAAGACTAATCTGCGCACACATCTGTTTGTGAGGCAGATTTCAAAAGTACGGCTTAACTCTAATCAAAGAAATGATCAGTCGGCAACATGCGACACTCGCAATGGAAATAAAGTGCCCACATAATTATTCACACCAGACCAGAATGAGATCCTTGACCTTGACCCTCTGCACAGGTGTTGTGTTAAGATAATTTTCCTTACAGAATTTGGTTCCTCTTTTTACATCATGTTTTAAAGCATACCGCCACGTTTTCCTTCTGTGCATGTCCTGGATAGAAAGAAAACCACTAAAAATCTAGATCTGCCAGACTTATGAGTTCCTTTTAAGCTTGACTTTATTCATTGTTTGTTTTATTTCATTTGGGATTTGCTTCATATAAAACCCACTAACTGACTGACGGAATACCAAATCTCATCATTCATTTCTTCCCAAAAGGAAAACGCCACTGCTTGCACATCTTGGTTGCAGGATTTTCTCATCTGAAATTAATCCATTTTCCGTCATGCTTATCCAAAGCAGGGTCTCGATGGGTGCTTCTGCCCATCTCCAGTTGAATACGGGCACACACTTACAACTAAGGAGAATTTAGAGAAGCCAATTAACCTAACAGTCATGTTTTTGGACTGTGGATGGAAGCCGGAGAACCTGGAGAGAACCCACAAATGCTCTGGGAGAAAATGCAAACTCCATGCAGAAAGACGGACTGGGATCCGAACCCAGAATATTCTTGCTGCAGGGCAGCAGCGCTACCCACCGCGCCACTGAGCAGCCCGACTAATATCTGATATAATTTATTTAAAATGTTAAGAATTTATAAAACATCTCAGAAAATACATTCAGATCAAAGGTCTTGGGAGAAAAATTGGAAGATTATTTTACTCTCACCCCCGTGGATTTCTAATCAACAACTTTTAGATTTTTCTAGCCGTGTGTTTTGTCGGTTTCTTACTTTGGTCCATAGCACATACAGAGGCTGGCCAGGTAGCCATTACTGAAGGCAAATAGAACCATAAAGGCGATAAAGTAGCCATCGTGTTGGAAGTAGACTGGCAGATGGAGGCGAGGCTGAACGTTACACAGCATAAAGAGAGGAATGAAGAGCACCCGAGCCACAATGAAGAGGGGGAGGACCAGGCTGTCTCTACCTGGCTGCAGAGAGAGAAATGTCATGAGCTTATTGATAATCAGTCTGGCCGTCGACTGGTAACTGATCAGGTTATTGATTGAATATAGAAGATCGCCAACCAGTCAGTAACTTACCCACATGCATACAGCTGTTAGGCTCCGCCCAGTCCAGTCACACAGATTAAAGAGCAGGAAGCAGCTGACAGGGATGAAGTATCGCTCTGGGAAAGGCAAACAGGAAGGTCAATCACCCTGAGAGCCAGTTGACACCTGAGGCAGATGTGTAAGAGGTCATGTGAACAGCGAGGGATGACTAACCCCAGGGGCCTCCATTAGCAAGAGTGGATTTAGTGTCAGAGGTGATGGCAGGAAAAATGCCGATGCTGACGGTGAAGGTGCAGCAGACCGACAACGCCAGGACCCAAATCTGAGGATGAAAACTTCAGGTTAAAAAGAGCTCAGGTTCAAAAGGTCACATGTTATCCAGAGCTTAAGGGGCAAAAGTTACAGCATTTCTGATGTTAGTTTGTGTGCAAACACTGGTGGGAAATGTTCAGCATCTTTTTACAACGACAAGGTAAAAACAATACTGCAGATCAACAAGAACAAATGTAAAATTGTAAAAAAGCTTTATTCATTGGCTGGTTTAAAATTTCTCCTATAACTCTTTTCCATCAGATTTTGAGGCAAGTTAAGGAAAGTTCATCTATCTAAAACATTTCACGGGTGTGAAAAAATTTAAGTGCTGTACTGTACATGAGAAATAGAAAACTATATTGCAGTGGCATATAATCAACACAAATGGTTGAAAAGAATAAAAGTGAAATATTAAAAAAGTAGATTATATATAAGAAAAAACATGGAATTCTTGATAAAATATTTAAAATAAGACAACAGGATTAAGAAAATGGTACAAAGGTAATACTGAAAACAACTAATAACATTTAGATTGCACAGTCAAAATTCATCTTTGATCTTCATTTAAAGCAACTGAGGATTTCAGAAATTCACAGTTTTCTGGGAGTTCATTCCAGATCAGTTGATCATAAGAACTAATTGCTGCTTTTTCCAGTTTGGTCTGGGTTCTGCAAAGTAGGATGGAGCCAGAAGGCCTTTGGAGCTAAGAAATTTAATGATTTATAGACTGATTTTTAAAAAATCCGTCTATTCTCTGAGATACAGAAAGCCAGTGTAACGATTTAAGCAATGGGGTGATGTGCTCAATTTTCTTAATATTAGTGAGGATGCAGGCAGCTGAGTTTCACATCATCTTAAAGTTAAAACACGAAGTGTGAATACATTTTTCTTTAGGTGATAGAAGGCTGAATTTGTTCCTGTCTTTATGAGCCTCTGAAGGTTCAGGTCTGAGTCCATCACTGCACCCAGATTTAGAGCCTGATTTGTTGCTTTCTGGCTGGATGAACTGAAGTTGGGTACTAACTTTTTAAAGCTCTTTTTTGAGTTAAAAGCTTTTACTTCATTTCGGTTTTGATTTGGCTGAAGAAAATTTTGGCACATACATGTGTTGTTTTCTTCAATGTATTTATCTAGAACTTGATTAGGTTCATAGTAATCTGGTGACATAGTGATGTACAGCTGGGTGGCATCTGCATAGTTATTGTAACTTATGTTATGTGATTTATTAAAATATGAGTCTGGGGGAGAGTAGATATTGAATAGGTATAGGATCCCTAAGGTGGATCCTTGGGGAGCGCCATATGTGAATTTTCTGGTCTCTGATGTAAAGTTACCTATTGACACAAAAAAGGATTTAAACCAGCCCAGTGCTGGACCAGAAAGGCCGATCCATTTTCCAAGTACTTTAGCAAAATGTAGTGATCAACAGTGCTGAATGCCGGTCCATTAACATCAGCACACTGTTTTTTCCACAGTCTGCATTTATACAGATGTCACAGAACACCCTAACAAGAGTCTTTGTATTGTGGTGAGCAGTGGCTTGTTATTGTTACAAAGGCGTTTAGCTGTTGAAACACGGTCAATCCATCCATCCATTTTCTGACACGCTTAATCCCATCTGGGGTCATGAGGGGTGCTGGTGTCTACGGGTGAGAGGCAGGGTACACCTTGGACAGGTTGCCAGTCCATCGCAGGGCAACACAGTGACAAACAACCATTCACACACACACTCACACCTAAGGAGAATTCAGAGAAGCCAATTAACCTAACAGTCATGTTTTAGGACCATATAGTCCCCACTGTATGTGGACACGGTAAGCTTGGATTAAATTGCTTTTTAAAACCCGTGGGATTTGTTATTATTAATAATATTATAATTTTTAGTATTAGTAGTATCATTAGTTTCACTATAGAAGATCAGATATTGTGCATCATTAAAAAAAACATTCTCCAGATCCCAAAAGTTAGCATTCCAGGTTCTTTCGCTAGAAACTCTCTTTTCAATGGGTTTATGTATGTTTTATATTGTATATATATGTAATTTGTCTGCACCATCAACATTCAGTCAAAGTGCAAACCTACTTGGCAATAAACCTGATTCTGATTTTGATGTACCTTTATTTTTCAAATGTTTTTACCCGACAGCAATAACAAAACTAAATGCAACCAAAAATAACCATTAATCATCATGGATGATGTGTGTGAGAATGTACTATTCTTATTAGTTGTTTTTATCAGTTATTGCTATTTATTTCTTATATTATGTGTAAATGGTGGTGACAGTGATTTTTGTTTTTTTAAGCATATGCACTGATCGATCGATGGCACTTTTTAAAATTTCGTTGTTCTTGTGACAATGACAATAAAGATAAATTGAAATTGAATTGTAATTGAAATCATGCTCAAACTGTTCTCAGAGTTGGAGCGTACAATTTTCCTAATGGTTTTGGTATTGAGGAGCAAAAAGAGTTTCTTTGAGTAACAAACTAGTGGAGCCCATCTCCTGTCTGCTTTTGAATTTATGTTCTCACATAGACTGTGAATCTTCAGCTTACATATGAACTAAGACACAGCAAAAGATCGAGCCAAAGAACAAAAAATTAGTCTTGGCATAGATTTCCGATTTATATTTTTTTTCAGTTTCACCACTGATGTTATTGTATGATCGAGCACCAGTAAGCTAATAGTATAGATTTAATGTCTGACCTTCTTAAAAATCTTCATCATGGAGATGCTCTGGTCCGTCTCATCAGTTGTAGCATCTTTAAGCTCTGAGAATCAATAACTCAAAAAATCAGATTTATTTTTCTGACCTGACCTTCCAGGTGATGAATTTAGTTTCATACCCGTGTTCATCAGGGTAACTGCATTTTGCTCATCATCCGAAGTTGGTTTTCTGTTTTGTTCTTGAAAAAACTGGAAGAACTCCTGAAATGAAAGTTTATAGACATTAACAATCAAACGTACAAGATACTTTTTCAAGCTAAAAAACAAAACAAAACAAAAGAATAATTCAATACGATTCATGAACAATGCACAGGCATACAAAAAGATTATATTGCTCCTAATTTTTTTTTTTTTTCAATTCTACCTTTTTGAAAAATTTAACTCTCAGCTCTCTGGTTTTAATTTTCTTCCACACCTTTACCAGCCTATTGAAATTCAAGAAGATTTTATTTCTTCTCTTTTAGCTTCCCTTCCTTTGGTTGCTTTTAAATCCAGAATAGAATTTGAAACCCTTCTTTGGATTTATAAAACCCTAAATAACATAATAGATCCATCTTATATCAGAGATCAAATTGTTCTTTATGTTCCATACAGAGCTCTTCGCTCACAATCTGCAGGTTTACTAGTCATTCCTAGAGTTTCTAATAGTAGAATGGGAGGCAGATCTTTTAGTTATCATGTTCCTCTCCTGTGGAATTAACTAACAGTTTCAGTCCATGAGGCAGACACCATGTCTACTTTTAAGACCAGGCCTAAACATATTCTTTTTGATAAAGCTTATAGTTAGAGTGTCTCAGGTTATACTGAGTTATTGGTGCGCTGCTGTAGCCCTAGGTTGCTGGAGAACATAGGGACAACATTTCCTCACCTTGCTGCATTCTACTTATACTCTTCAACTTTTACATTATTTGCAGCTGCTTTGAATCTTTGCTTCATGTTGTATTTGTTTTCTTTTTGCTAACTCCATCTGGCCTGGTTCTGTTCAGCTGTGACAGCATTCTGGGACTCCTGCTGGTGGTGATTTAATATTCTCCTTTATATGATTCACTGGCTAATGTATTCCAATGGTTAATTCTCTCTCTCCTATAAATAGCTATTGGTATGCTGACTGCATATGTTTTATTTAGCCTAGACTAGACTAAGCTAAGCTAAGCTGGATTAGGGTTATGTTTACTCTTCTTGGAAATAAACACAGCCCAGTATATTTTACAGGTGCCAAAAACAAATTGAGCTAAAAAAAAAAGGCTGAAGGTGTGATACAGAAGTTTGACTTTACCAATTTTGGTAACATGATATAGGACAGGATGGACAGGAAAACGACTACACAGGCTACGATGAAATAACCGAATGCTGCACTCTCCATCTCAGAACCACCTGCAACAGATAAAGATAGCATGAGATGGAAGAAGTGATGAAAAAACGATAAACAATCCAATCAGAAAATTGCCATAATAGATGATATTGCGAGGCTGTGAACAGTTATCGAAAGATTATTGAACAGACTTGCAATGGCGCAGATCATTGCAAAGGCAGCAAAGGTGCCAGCGAGGCCTTGGCCGCTCATGATGGGAGTCGTGTATGAAGCTGGAAGCAAACCGGCCATCCCAAAGAGACTGCCCTGCAGCACTGCACCGAAGGCTGTGAACAAACAAGCAGATACATATCATGATAAAGAATAGAATAGAACTCAACTTTATTGTCACTACACTGTGACACGTACAGTGCAACCAAATGTAGTGGACTTTGAGAATTTTCAATTTGGGAAGAGCTGTTCTATGGATAAAATTTCACTTGCAGATTTGACAGAGGCTGATGGACAGACAATAGAGATGGAGAGAGGCTGTAGATTAATTTCCCGTCACCTTTCTTCTGCCACGGTAGCCATTAGGAAACCAGTCTGGGCTTCTTTCACCAGTTTCTTGATTATTTTTTGAATTTTCTTAGCTAAGATGCTGGTAAGGCCCTCAGACCAACACATAACAGGCTCACTGGTCGAAACCAAGCACAAAGTTGGGTCTTTACCCTTTTTCTTGTTGATGGTCCCCCTCCTTTAATGAAAGAAAAACCTACAATGGTCACAAAAATAACTTGAATTTAACAAAAATAATAACAAACAAAAATGCTATGAAAATGCACAATGAAAGTCAGAAATTGCTTTTCAACCATTTTTTAACAAAAGGATTTCAAACTTTGTTTTTAAAATCTCGTTTAAACTGTTGTTAACCATCCTTTTGAGTCGATCACTTGAATCAATCAGTTCCTGTCAGTCAGACTTCTGCTCGTCTCAGAAGGTATTGTGATCCACTCCTCTTCAGCAAACTGCTCCAGGTGTCTCAGGTCAGAAGGCTGCCAATTCCAAACTGTCTGTTCCAGCTCTTTCCAAAGATGCTCAATTGGATTTAGTTCAAGGCTCCTTAAGGCCACTTTAGAACAGTCTGATGTTTTCCTCTCAGCCATTCTTGGCTCTTTCTAGCTGTGTGTTTTGGCTCATGACCTGCGACTGAGACCAAAACTTTTGAAACTAATGCAAATTTTTTTTCTGGAATCCCTCATAGTCTGGAGATTTCATTTGAAACTGTAGATTCAGATATGAAGTGTCGACTGCAGGGCCGCTGACTGGTCCGGACCTCAGCAGAGAGCCATGAGCCGCCCGTCCTCAGCCGGAAAAGGGCGGCTGGGGGCCAGTAAGGCAGGCGGGGGGAAGCATGGCTGTGGCCTGTGTCCAGGCTAAGGAAAAGGTGTCATGATCTGGCCTGTTTGCTCCTCCCTAATTGGTAATTCCTCTCACCTGCCCTCTTCCTTCCCTGCCTCAATTATAATTTATTCCCCTCACCTGTTTCCTCTGGTTTATATTCAGTTCAGCCTGAGCATTCAGTGCCAGATCATTACTTGTCTTTCTCTCAGTCTTTCTATTCAGTTTTATTTTATGGTTCATGTCCTGGATCCTAGCTGCCAGTGGAAAGAGGGTTTTTGTGTTTGTCTCGTCTTCTGATTGTCCACTGTTCCTCCCCCAAGGAGTCCTCTGGGTTTTTGGCTCATTATGGGAGGAGGTTCAGTTTTTATCCAGTAAGCCTGGCTCCAGGGAGGAGACCAGTTTAAAGTCCTGCTTCAAGTTCCGGTTCTACGTCCTGTCTCGGCTACCCTCTTCCACTGAGCCTGCCTGTCTGCACCTGATCCTGTCTGCTCCTGTGCGTGACCACCTGGTCATGCTTCTGGTCCCAGTCAGACTCTGAACCCTCCTGGGAGCCTGTGGATGCCTGGAAGTCTGGATCCTGCCACCTGTTTCTGTTCCTGCCTGATCTGGATCCTGCCTGTTCCTGTCTGTTCTGGATCCCTGACCAGGATCGGCTTCCAGCTTGACCTCTGGAACTGCAGCACTTGGGACATTCTTGGTCTGGACTGCTAAACCAGGTAAGTGACCAACTCAGATAATCTTCTGTCAGATGATCGTGGTCACTTAACTGTGTTTCTCCCACTACAGAGTGTCTGAGATTGGGCGGTGCCCCAACCCCCGCCTGCAGTGTCCACGAGCCACAGCTCCACTTTTTTTTTGTTTTATTTAATAAACGTTTGAACTTTCCTACTGACTGTCTCTCCTTGAATACTGGGTCCATCTGTCTCCGTTTCATGACAAAAGGAGGACGTCTGGTCACCCTACCATATTAACAATTTGATGTTTCAGCGAGTAAGTACTTGCTGCTATGATACATCGTTACTCAGCAGCTCAGCTTGTTGTAAGCCAACCAATCAGCGCACAGCTCATCCAAATATTCATGAGCATGCCATAACAGGAAGAAAACCTGTCGTTTCTTTCAGGGCTTTTAACCAGGCTTGCATTAGGGCTCATAGAACAGCAAATATGCCATTTTCTGCCAAACCAAAATTACACACCCTATTCAGAGACCATAAGGACCAGCACCAGATACCCTATATAAGCATTCTCTGACCCCTTTAACATACGTCTCTGTAATTTCCTTTCTTATGTCCTGAGATGACTCTTTCCTTCGCTTCCACTGGTCCATGTTGACTGTTGCACACACCATGTCACCAAATAACACAGTGTCAGTGACTATCTGTAGCCCTTTAGATCACAAGATTGTAGTTAGTGCTAACTAGTGTTGCGCCGATGCCATTTTTTGGCCCGATACCCGATACCTGGCTGTGCAGTATCGGCCGATACCGATACCATAATAATATAAAATAATTGCCATCATGGCTTTGTCAAGCTGCTGCCTACCTTTGTGAAGCAGGAACAAATCTAATACAAAGTGAAACCAGTAGAACTTTTTATTGCCTACCAGGAGTGGGTGACAGTAGTTGAAAAAACTTATGGCTCTCAAAATGGTATCGGTGCCCTATTTGTTGGTACTCGCCGATACCGATACCGATACCACCATTTTAGGGCAGTATCGAGGCCCCGTCCGATACTGGTATAGGTGCAACACTAGTGCTAACACCTTCCTTTAACATGTCCCTTTGGTCCATTGTTTTCATTCTTTTCTTTGGGGTACCGTCATTTTTCTCCAGACATGTTTCATCACAAATTTTTTTGAAATCATTCTGTTTAGCATGGGTTGAAAGCAATGTTTGACTTCCATTTCTTCATTTTCATATAATTGTTATTTATTATTACTTTTGTCAGTATCAAGTTATTAATGTAAACATTGTGTTTTTTTTAATGAGGGGTAACAACTAATTTGTTCATGTGTATATAAATAAAAAGCTCATTCTTAGCAATTGGAACACCTTCCCGTTTATAGCGATTGCAATTAGGCTTTGGCAGAATATGCATTTGTGAAAGCAATACTTTACTTTTGCCCATAAAGCAAAATTATTTATACATTGTCCTTTAAAGTTTGCCTCTCATATAAGTTGGCATATCATATTGCAAAAGCCCCTAAATTTCCCAGTGTCAGAGTTCTGGGTTGCATTGCTATGCCTCTGTTTCATCTGGCTCACCAAGCAGATAATTTAATGTGCGAGCGTCAAATGTAGTTGTTCTAGTGCTGCGTTTAGCTTGCTGATGTGGGTTTGCAAAACTAACTCAGACTGTTGCTCTTCCTTGTTTAAGGTGGTCTTTCAAGCTCCCTTAAACTCCTGACTAAATTCAAGATTTTTCGTTCCGATCCTCTGGGATAATCTTTTGGATTTCTGAATTATTTTAATTGAATTCTTAAAAGTTGTCATTTTTTGCCAGTTAGTAAATGTGAAGCATCATTTTGAACTAGCTGAAGACCATAGAAATGGATTTTGCTGATCAAACTATAGAGATAGTTACAGCAGACTAGTCTAATGGCAAGAAAAGCATATATTGCAATATGAACATATCCATATTTCCATTCAATCGTCATGGAAATTTTGTGCAAAAGCAACTTTTTTGTTTCTCATTGCCATACCAAATAAGATGTGTTCTGATTGGTGCAGAGAGGAAAGGTTATTCTGGATTCAGACAACAAATCTTAACTATTTTTTTCCATTTTGCGGGGCAGCAGAGCACCGTTCTGAAGCTCTCGAGCATCTCTACTTTACGTTTTTGCTCAGTTTTCACAATGATGCTTATTAATTATTTAAGTAATTTTATACCCTTGTATTTATATTACACTGAATAATACATAATACAGATTTATAATAATATCTTTCATGTTTATGAACAGTTGACCACAGCCAATGATTTATCTTCCTTCTTTTACTTGTTGCTTGTCCCTCATTAACTAACCTCACCTCAGACCCCAAAAGGAAGCTTAGAAATAAGTCAAACAGGCTCACAATTGATGATTATGATCTTCACCATGGTTATGGAAAAAAAAGGCAGCGGCTCTAGAGGAATTTTGACAAGGATGGCAGTGATGATGAAGACAATCATGATGACGGAGAGACTTCCCATCACACGCAGACGCTGAGGAATGCTGATAGAATCAGAGGAAGAAGGAAAAGTTTGAATCCATTCAAATCCAACTTTATCTATAAAACACCTTAAAACATCACAGCACTAAAGTCTCACTCATAAGACAAAACAATAAAACGACACGTCAAGCTGAGTTTATGAAGTTTAGATAATTGATGTGGAAATTTTTTAACAATGAAGCCAAAGGAAGTTTATAGTACGTATAAGGACAATTCAAAGGACTTTAGATGAATTAGACAATGAAATAAAGAATGAAATAATGTTTAAATTCTAAAAACACCAAAAAGATAATTTGAGGAATGATCTTTATCACTCATAAAAAGGCTATACATAGATTTTTAAATATACTCCGGATTAACCTGGATTAAAAAAAAATAAAAAAAAAAACACTTTCACAGTTGAGCATAAGAACTACTAGCTGCTTCTACATTTTTGGTTCTGGTTTTATGCAGTAAATTTGATCCAGGGCACATGAGTGTCATGATCTGGCCTGTTTGCTCTCCCTTAATTAGTAATTCCTTTCACCTGTCGTTTTCCCTCCCTGCCTCAATTATAATTTATTCCTCTCACCTGTTTCCTCTTGGTTATATTCAGTTCAGCCTGAGCATTCAGTTCCAGATCATTACTTGTCTTTTTGTTAGTCTATCTGTTCAGTTTTATTTTATGGTTCATGTCCTGGATCCTGGCGGCCAGTGGAAAGAGGGTTTTTGTGTTTGTCTCATCTCCTGATTATCCACTGTTCCTCCCCTGCGGAGTCCTCTGGGTTTTTGGCTCAATATGTGAGGAGGTTCAGTTTTTATCTCAGTAAGCCTGGCTCCAGGGAGGAGACCAGTTTAAAGTCCTGCTTCAAGTTATGGTTCCACGTCCTGTCTCGGCTACCCTCTTCCACTGAGTCTGCCTATCTGCACCTGATCCTGTCTGCTCCTGTGCGTGACCACCTGGTCATGCTTCTGGTCCCAGTCAGACTCTGAACCCTCCTGTCCCGGAGCTCTGTTAAAGCCTGGAAGCCTGGATCCTGCTACCTGTTCTGTTCCTGCCTCATCTGCAACCTGTTCTGTCTGTTCCTGCCTGATCTGCATCCCTGATCAGGATTGGCTTCCCCCAACTCCGGAGCTGCAGCACTGGGGACACTCTGGGTGACGCGAGCTGCGTCAGCTGTCAGCCCATCGGCTGAATTGCACCCCTCAAGGGTATGGACTGAACTGCTAAACCAGGTAAGTGACTCACTGAGAACATCATCTTCAGTCAGATGATCGTGGCCACTTACCTGTGTTTCTCCCCTAGAGTGTCTGAGATTGGGCGGTGCACCACCCCCCCGCCTCCAGTGTCCGCGAGCCACAGCTCCGCTTTTGTTTTGTTTATTTAATAAATGTTTTGAACTTTCCGACTGACTGTCTCTCCTTGAATACTGGGTCCCTCTGTCCTCGCCTTATGACAATGAGAGGTCTGGCTGTTGATCTACTGCCAACCAGTCTGTAATGTATTTTTGAGCGTAGGGTCATGATTTGGACACGTTCTCACAAGACCTGACATGTGATGCAACAACATTAGTGAATTTTTTTTGTCTGTTTTTTTATCAGAGGCTGAAGGTTATTGCTGTTAGGTCTTAAGAACAGTTTTTTTCAGGCAGAGGAGATTATTAAGTCAGAATTCTGCCAAAACGGCACATTCACAATGAATATGCATACAAACAGTTATATTTAATAAACACATGCATAGAATTCTCTCTATGAACATTTTCAACACTTTATATGAGAACACTCAATACCACAAGACACCCATATGTCACTTTCATTAGCAAATACTCCTTCTCTGCGATCGGGGCTTGTCTTCCAAATTCCTGCAGTCTCTCCTGCCCTTTTTGCACGTGGATCTCTCTGCTTGATCCTCTCAGCTTTTGTCACTTTGAGGGTGTTTGCCAACTGGAGAAAATAATCTCCTGTGATTGACTCCTTTTCAGGAAATTCTGCCTCTTCAGACGCCACTTTTTTCATTCTGGTTGTGGCTAACAGTAGAAGCATATTTAAGTGAATGGCTGTTTATGTTGAGTTAAAAAATGTTTAAGTAAAGATGAACTTCAAAATGCAAGAGCAATCTTTGTCATCAACAAACAATTTTGGTAACAAAATGCTGGACATAAAAGTAAAAAAGTTTAATAGTAGATGTTGTGCTATAAGCAGTAAAGCCACAAGCTTTACTGCTTATAGATTCAAGTTTCAAATTTGTTTGACATCATTATTTTATGGCATAATGGTGCTGCTGTCAGAACACATTCATGACTGTGTTAAATTTAGGAAGTTATTTAAAGCTACAGTGTGTAATAATTACAGGGATATACAGTCAGAAATGTAATATATTATACATAATTATGTTATTTATCATCATCTACGAGCTCAGCCTCTTAACCTTAATATTTGCGTTGCCTTAGAATTCGTTATTTATAATTACATAGGAGCGGGTCTCGCAGCCATGGAGGCAGACATCTTTGCGCTACGGCAGCGCAGAGCCAACAAACTAGCGATTGCGAGATCGCCAAAACGTCACAACGATGTAGAAAAAATAACGGGTATATTTATTATCTTAAGTCTACATGAAATCTATACCCTACACAGACTAATGAAATACTATCTGTAAAATTATCTATGTAAACAAACCTCATCACTTGAGAAGGTAGGTGATGCGGACGTCGTGGAAGACATTTTATCCCGTAACGCTCGCCGTACTGTTGGGGGGGAGAAGCGGTGGGGGGGAGATGTTCATGTTGCTGCAGTCTGCAGTCTGACCGCTAGCTGTCGCTAAAAGTTACACACTGTAGCTTTAAGGAGGATTTCACTAAACCAGTTATTAATTAGATGTGTTTCAATGACCAAAACAGAGGACATTCGCTTGGAGTTATTACATCACATGTGTAGTTATCTGATTGGTTCTAAACAGATGACGCTGTTGGTCGTGCCTTTGAAAATGAGCTGTACCAGTTCTTTACCAGACTGATACACCGTGTAGGTCATATAGTTAGACTAAGAGTAGTCTCAAAGGGTGGGACTTCCTTAAGAATAGCCAATCAGGGGCCATTCTTAGTTTCTTCAATGGTTACCACCTTTAAGTGACAAAAGTTTACATGAGTGCACAGAACCAGGTCAGCACAGGAGCAGAAGAGGTAATATGGGTGCAGGGAAAATAAGCCAAGAATGCAAAGAAGAAAGATGCATTCATTTTGGGGTTTTGTGGGATCAAATAAATTCAAAATACAAGTAGCCATATGTGCAATAAATAAAACTCCTTGTATGTATTCATTGTGTGTATGCCCTTTCAGCAGAACGGGCTCTATGCTCAACCCCACTACTTCCTGGTAGTGGTGTTGTACATAGAGCTCATTTTGACTTCAGAGGACAGACCTTAACAGGCCCTGGAGCTTTCATCCCCTTATAACACTGGAAGACTATGTTCACATCTTCCTCTTTTAGTTTTAGTCCTGGCAGAGAGGAAGGGGAGGCTGTTGTCAGGGGACACCGACAGATGCTTTGTGTGAAAGTGAGGTATTAGGTCAGATCTACTGATGAAATAATTTTTTAACTACACAAGCATGACAAAATGACACAACAAACTCCCCATTTATAGCTATGGTTGATATTAAATGCATGGAATACAATACATTTGAGTCAATTAAAATGACTTTCTATATGGAACTTCTCTTTCTCTGGGAAAGTGACTTGGTAAATAACCTAAATTGAAACGGTATAGTACTTTGATGTAGCCCTTGTCCAGCTCTCAGAGCTGCAGGGTAGTACTCACAGTGAGTGCAGAAAGGAGTTGAGACAGGTGCAGAGAAGCAGCGGCAGCATGGCACAGAGGGTCATAACGTTGTTGAATTTGGCCTCTAAAACACTCGGAGGTACCGACTCACTCTGATTGACTGAAACCTCAGCAGAAAGAGGTTCCTTTAGACGTTTCTGGAAGTACTGCAGGGACACAATAACATATCTGTCCATGAACAAAGAATATTGATCAAGAGTGCAACAATTCAGCTGGAACATATATAATCTTATTCAGCACAAGAACCTTGTCAGTTTTTGAACCCAGATGCTGTTGCTACCATGTTCTTGGTGGTAACCATTTACTAGTTGAAATCCTTTATTTACCACGAATCTCATGAATAAAAAAAACAAACTAGATATCTATTAAAATTAAAAAATATGTCCCAGAAATACCTTTAGAATTACATTAGTTTCTTTTAACTGTTACATCCATCCATCCATCCATCCATCCATCCATCCATCTTCTTCCACTTTTCAGGGTCGGGTCGTGGGCCAGATACTTGGGCCAGCTCCTCCGGGGAATCCCAAGGCGCTCCCAAGCCATCAAAGAAACATAGTCCCTCCAGCGTGTCCTGGGCCTCCTCCCGGTGAGACGTGCCTGGAACACCTCACCAGGGAGATGTCCAGGAGGCATCCTAATCAAATGCCCGAGCCACCTCAACTGGCTCCTCTCGATGTGGAGGAGCAGCGGCTCTACTCTGAGTCCTCCCCGGTTGACTGAGCTCCTCACCCTATATTTATGGGAGAGCCCAGACACACTATGGCGAAAACTCATTTCAGCCGCTTGGATCCGGTAGGATAGGAACGGTAAATTGAGAGCTTTGCTCTTCGGCTCAGCTTTCTCATCACCACATCAGACCGGTACAGGGCCCGCTTCACAGCAGACGCTGCACCAATCCGCCAGTCGATCTCCCGTTCCATCTTCCCTTCATTTGTGAACAAAACCCCAAGATACATAATTTCCTCCACTGGGGCCAGTACATTCTCTCCGACCCGAAGAAGGCACTCTACCCTTTTCTGGCTCAAAACCATGGTCTCGGATTTGGAGGCACTGATTCTCATCCCAGCTGCTTCACCCTCTGCTGCGAACCGCTCCAGTGAGAGCTGTAGATCACGCCCTGATGAAGCCAATAGAACTATATCATCAGCGAATAACAGAGATGCAATCCTAAGGCCACCAAGACAGATCCCCTCAACACCTTGGCTGTGCCTAGAAATTCTGTCCATAAATGTTATGAACAGAATCGGTTACAAAGGGTAACCTTGGCGGAGACAAACTCTCACAGGAAACAAGTTCGACTTACTGCCGGCAATGCGGACCAGACTCTGACAGCAGTCATACAGAGACCTAACAGCCCCTATTAAAGGGCCTGGTACTCCATACTGGAGCACACCCCACAGGAACCCCCAAGGGACACGGTCGAATGCCTTCTCCAGATCCACAAAACACATGTAGACTGGTTGGGCAAACTCCCATGCACCCGCCAGGATCCTGCTGAGGGTATGGAGCTGATCCAGTGTTCCACGGCCAGGACGAAAACTAAACAGCTCCTCCTGAATCCGAGGTTTGACTATACGACAGACCCTCCTTTCCAGAACCTGGAATAGACATTACCAGGGAGGCTTAAGAGTGTGATTCCTCTGTAATTGGAACACACCCTCCGGTTTAGCTTTTTAGTCTTATTTTATTATGCATAGGACTGCAATAGCCCAATATATCTTCTTTTCCTTTATGAAATGAAAGGGAGGGACTTTCTTCCACTAACAAAATATAAGTTACTGATACTTAAAGTATTTTACTTAATTCTTTACCTTTCTTTGAGTAATTTTACAAAGTAAAAAAAAAATACAATATCCCCGATGAATGCGTTGATAATGAACCCTGAACTGAATCTGATCTCGAGCAGCCTTCTGAATATTAGCAGCTATGACAGAAAAATCCCCTAACCTCACGCATCGGTCTGTTATACCAATCAATCAATCAATCAATCAATCAATCAATCAATCAATCAATCAACCAACCAACCAACCAACCAACCAACCAACCAACCAATCTATCAGTTAATCTAGTTTGTATTCAGACTGTAGTGACAAAGAATAGTGTTGCTATCACTTATATCTGTCACAGTCTTGGTTTTGTTATGTTTATTTAGAGTATTCAGTTTTACTTTGCTCCTTGTTTTAGTGTTTAATTACTATTTTGTTGTTTTCTTGTTAGTTCCTGTCTTCCAGGTTGTCCATTTGTTGTCCTCTGCTGCCCTCTTGTGTCCTCTATCCCTAGCTCTGTTTTCTGCTCTGTCCTCACCTGTTTCCAATCCTCTCGTTAGCCCTCTCTTTGTCTCTGTCCCCTTTAAAAGCCCTCCCTCTTCAGTTCCTGTTTGCTGGGTCCTCGTCTAACGTCTGTCTGCTTACCTCGTCTCTCCCTGGCTCTTAGAGTTTGGTTTCCCCTGATGTCTCCTTGGTTCTGGTTTGTTTGTTATTTTGTTGGATTTTTTTTTTTCCTGCCTCTGTTCCTGTGAACCTCATTAAACCCACCTAAACTCACCTCTGCCTACTTGCCTCTGCTTTTGGGTCCTCAATCCAACACCAAATCCTGACAATATCAGTGATAAGGATGTTTACTCACAATCCATCAACTCAGCAGTCACATCTGATCGCCTCTGAAGCTTTAGCTTCAAACTCACCAAACACTAACATTCATACTATATTCTTATCCCTCTTGGAAAGCTAACTGTCTCAACTTTCTTAGCAATTATGCTGCTTCTGTGTTTACCCCTGAACACATGCTCAGTATTGTACCTTCTTTGTTTTTATAAATGTACAAAACGGGCTTTCTTTGCTAGTAAATTGAGAAAAATGCTGTGCAAAACACAAAAATAACAAATCACACCAGCAGTACATGTTATTCTTTAGAAAAATGTTGCTGCATAAATATAAAAAATGTCAAATTAAAGGACTTACCTTTTAATTTATTTGTGATACTAAGGTTTTTGAAATAAAAAGTTGAATGGACTATGCAGCTTTAACCCTGTGATGATGCAGTTTTTACCTAGATACACGTGGCCTAGTATTTATGGGGGGGTTTTTTACGCTTCCACAAGGTAGGACCGATGAGGATTATGAATACATGCATTTAAACGTGCAGGCAAAAATCTTTACAAACTATTTCATCAAAAGGAAATTTAGTCAACACAGTTACATGTCTAAAAGGAGAGAGAGGAAGAGCAACTTTTTCAATCCCATGCCCTTAGCATTAGGGTTATTAAATAATTTACCATCAATAATTTCATTTCCTCTTTCATAAACTGGTGCTGTACTTTAGTTTTAAAGCCTGTCTCTCTATCATGCAAAGAAAATGAAACCGATATTACAGAAACTAATAAAATGCTTACATGCTACAGATTTTACTTCTGGGTTTTTTGTGTCTCTGCTCTTTCATCTCAAACCCCCAGATGATCAGGGCAGACGGCAGTTACCCCTAAACATGGTCTTGGAAGTGTTCAAAGTTTCCTCCTCTTTTAAGGGAGCTTCTTTACTACTTGTATAATCAGACCGAGGGATTGCGGTACAGTCTAAGACGTGAATAGTTGGGTTTCCTGAATTTGATCAAAATTTTATTTTATAAATGCATATAGGGTAGGTAGGATATATCTATATGCATGCACTATATGATAAATATTTCTCCTAAATTGTGGGGAAGTGCAGGGCTATTGATACTCTCTCAAGAGATAGGCCTGTTAGGGATTTCCTGAAAATGAACAGGGACACTGGTTCTGGTCGCGCTCGATTGCTTCAGAGTCTGGATAGTCTTGAACTTGGTGTAGGTATCTCTAGCCCGCAATCCTTTAAAGACATGACAAACTGAGTCTAAACAGGGTATTTAGGAAGATGGGAGCCCCTGCAGTTGTAGCTTAACGGAATTCATGAGCAATCATTCCTCCTTTCACACAGTAGATCGAGGCTTAATCTGAATACCAGTAATTGTAGCTCCTATCTGCTCCAACTATTCATCTGATCCACCTTCGCCTTTTAGTATGTAACCTGCCTTCAGACCAAACATCAGTGCCAGATTATTGCAGATATTAGCTGCAGCTGTAAGGTAGACTGTTGCCAAATAATGTGTCAATAATGTTGGGTATACAAACAAATGCGTTCCTTACCCCATAATACAACGACATAATTCACATACCGGTGGTCCCAGTAAATCAGTGGGTATGATACAATTTTTTTAGCCTGGGTGCCATTCCGAACTTAGTCCCGCCCACAAGGTTTGAGGTTGGGAAGTTCGGTCTGGCTCTGCTCCATAGTAGCGCGAGTATGATTGCCCACTCTCTGGATCCAATCAAATTGTCAGGGCGGGCTTTATACGATGATGGACAGTTGATCAACAGTAACGTAATCATCCACGTGACCAAAGCGCGCATGGGTGACAACAACAATGGCTGCCGCTTGAGAGTTGAGGTGTGTAGATTCTGCTATTAGGTCTGTTCTAGAAGATATCGACAGCAAATTAATTTTAAAAGAGGAACAGAGAAACGCAATCAAGGCTCATCTTCTTATTCTAGGCGTGCAACTGCACGCTTTGATTTTTGTTGACAACAACTATGCATCGCTTAACATATGTCACGCACTCCGTTGCTCTTATTGGTTGTAGGTCTATCCAATTGAGTGCAGAGGCATTTTTTTTCCTGGTTCGTTCAAAACACGCCCCATAATCACACCTCTATGGGGTAGTATCAGACTCATATTCTGACTAGAATTGAGTAGGACTACGTCAGGCTACAATTTTTTGCCCCGGATGTAAGAAATAGAATATAAGACGTCAAAATCTATTAAAAAGGTTACACATTTTTTTCAGCTAATACCTTTTATATTACTTATTATTTACTTTTTTCTTTACTGTTGCTAACAGTAAAAAAAAAGAAAAAAACTCAAAACTGTTGTGTTTGTTTCATTCAAATTTGCTATTATATTAATAAAACTTGAATATTAATTCAAGACATTAGTAAATTGTCAGAGAGAAGGTGCAATACGTCCTGCGTTATTTTGATGAAACTATTTTGATTGGACTAAGATGCACAGGTTCCATGATGCTAACAACACCCTTAGCTTAGCCTATTACAAAGTAAAAGCTTGTATAGTAAAATGTGTGTTGTAAAAAAAACAAACAGAAGACAATATTTCACCATGGTAGCAGTCATGAAGAAATTCCAGGGCAGCAGGGTTCCCAGACCAAGCATGAAGAATATCATCCACACGCCCAAATACCTGCAGGAAATAAACCTGAATGATGTCATCATAGTCTTTAGGTGAGAGCTCAAAATCTTTATCGCTAAATGGTTTAGCTGTTCCAAAGCTTACGAAATTAATATGTGTAATCCATCAATTAATCAATCAATCAATCCATCCATCAATCATCTGATCAAATAAACAAAAGTTCCAAGTCAAGTAAATTTCAGATGCGTTTGTCTTTTTTTATAGAAGCAATTGGATCTTTTGCAAATGAGGTATTGGTCATTATCCATCTTCTTTAGCTGCTTGTCCATCAGGGTCACATGGGGCTGGTACCTGTTTCTAACAGGCTATGGGCAAAAAAAGGGGGCAGGTGACATCCTGGTCAGGCTGCAAATCTATTTCAGGGGCAATACAGATGTGCACAGCCATGCACACCCATGCACTCTTACCTTTAGAGTCACCAATCAACCTAACAGTCATGTTTCTGAATTGTTGCAGAGAACGAGAGTACCCAGAGAGAACCCCTGCATGCATTATGAGAATATATAGTACTAATTCTATACAGAAATCACCCAGGCCAAGTTTTAAACCCGTACACTGCAAAAAAATCTAAATCTATATAAGTCATTTTTTTCTTAAAATAAGTGCAATTGTTCTGTTGTTCTGTTGTAAAAGAGACATTTTGCCAATGGAACAAGACAATTTACACTTAAAATAAGAAAACACAATTGCATTGTCTTATTTCAAGTGCACATTAACTAATTATCTTATTTTAAGAGTAAAATTACTCATTCTATTGGCAAACTATCCCATTTATGTACTCAAATTAAGGGTGAATACACTTTATTTAAGAAATTTTAAACTATTTCTGGATTGTTTTTGCAGTGTAACCTTTTTGCTATAAGATTACAATGCTAGCATGGAAAAAAATATCTAGAAATAAGTACAAGTTTCTTAAATTAAGTATATTTAACCTTAATTTAATTAGGTAAAGATAGTTTTCCATTTGGGATTAGTATGTTCACTCTTAGATTAAGATAATTAGATAATATGCACTTGAAATAAGACAATGCTAATTTATTTTTCTTATTTTAAATGTAAACTGCCCCGTTCTACTGGCAAAATGTTTCACTTTCCTCCTCAATTCAAGAAAAAATGCACTTATTTTAAGAAAAAAAGACTTATGTAGATTTAACTGCACAATCAAAACTGCACCACAGTTTACTCTACTAAAAAGAAAAAAACAGTAAAAAATCTAATGAATTATGAAGTCATTCTCTGCTTTACTTGTCTTTAGGGGAGTTGGTAGCCATTGTCACTGAGAAACCAACTACTGAATGAACTGTTCAACGGGTCTGGAGATTCAGATGAGCTGAAGGGTTGTGTTGGAGCACGAGGAGGATCAGGAGGACAACCAGCAGAGGATCATTGGACCTGGAGGACCACCGGAGGAGAGCCAGGAGACCGAGATGATGATCAGGAGGATCATCAAAGGTAGATCAATAGACCTGCTGGAGAATCAAGAGAACTATGATGAGCTTTAGAGGAAGTTTTTACTTGTACATATGGCAATACATCTATATTCTATTTCCAAAGTCAATCTATTTTTATCTAGACTGCCTGTTCTCAGTTATTGGTACCTTTTTGATTTTTTATGTTTGCCTTGCTCAACCTTTAACAGTAGAATGAACATATTTAACTGATTAAAATCAAGAAAACAAATTCTGGGATAAAATAAATACCACTTTTAAAAATCAGAAAGTAAAATAATTAACTGTTGCTTACTGTACATCAATGATCTCTCTCTCTTTAAAGGCTTTGTTAGGTAAGGATTAATCTGTGACAATCAGACTGATATATTTTCTTAAAGAAACCTAGCTGCAGCAAGCGGATTATGTAAATATGAATGAGTTTATGCTTTCTAATTAGTTAGATTTTGAAATTTCTTATAATTGTAGGCGAGAAGGAGTAGCAAACCTCTTTTAGTGGATTTTATTGATTAGCCCAACGCCAATTATTAGAGTTCTTTATTCTTTATTAGTTAATTTTCCCCATTCAATTGAAAAAACAAAAATTACTTTTGTCTGTTACCTTCTATGACCAGAATTGTTTAAAAAAAAACAGATTTTAGAGACCTTGTTAGGAAATATAATTTTCATTGGTAAATATGTTTTGTTATTGCAGCCAAAACACTTTAAACATTAAAGAAAAGTTTTCAAATATGAGCCTATTTAACCTGCAACTTGTTCTTTAATCAATATTTTTAACAACTTCCTACCCTCACATTTCTCTCCCAGAAGATCAACAGGGGGGTTCGTAACACAGATCAACACGTAAATATGATAAGGTGTGAACAATTAACTCTAACTGCTATTAACATTTTATAATTGCTGTGACAAAAGTGCACAATGGATACATTGGCTCTGCTAAAGGTTGTTGGAACTGAGAGAATTAGGAGGAAATGAGTCTTCAGGGATTACTAAGATTACCTGGCTCATGATAATGACCTTTTTAAGAGCCGATTAGACACCCTAGAGCACAGGTCAGCAACCCACGGCTGCAGAGCTGCATACCGCTCTTTAATGCCCCCCTTGTGGCTGCCTGGAGCTTTTCCAAAAATGTATAAAAATAGATAAAGATGGATTTTTGTTTGTTTTAATATTGTGTGCAGGAGGTCAAACAAACATTTGTTGTGTTTTCCAATGCTTTAAAATATGTATAATTAATACATTTAAACAATAAATGTAAAGATTTCTGTCAATGAATTTTGCGTCACAGCTTGCAATACACGTTTCAGCTATGTTCTTTTTTATCTAAAAGGGATAAAAAGCTCTGCTGGTGAAGAAACTTGGATCATGATTGTTCATTGACCTTGTGACTCTCAATTACTTGTAGTCCATTCAACTAATAGTGCTTTTATCTCTATGAAGAAAAAAACTATTTCTCCATGTTGCTCTTTTCTGACACCAAAACACTCTCAAGTGAAAGTGTTGACGAATTCAGATAAATCTTTAATTTAAGTGACCTGTAAAATGCTTCCTGTCAGATCCTAGACCTGCCCAGTCCACCATGAAAGCTTTAAGGCCAGTCTGAGTTCTGACAGCTGTAGAGACTGCTGCCGGAGCGTTTCCTAAATGCACCTTCTGCTGTCATAACACCGAGACATATTGGCAATATAAAACCTGTCATTAGATGTGTCACATTCCTAGAGAGGAAATGCTTCATTCAGAAAATCTAAACCGATCATGTTACACGGGGTTCCTTCACACAATCTGTAGTCATTAGATGATTAAAATAAAATCAGACAGGATGAAAGGAGCAGAGCAGGAAGGTCGTATCAGAAACTACATTCAGGTTTTACCTTCAGTGTTTGATAGCAGCCAGATGTTTATCCTTCCTGCAGCTTTCCCCTGTTATCATAGCAGATATTGTTGATTTTTCTGTGTAACTTTCTTTGCGTGTGCAGCTGCTTGTGAAATCCTTCCTCCTTTGTTTGTCACGTTCCCGTCTCAGAGATTTTCCTCGTGGCGTGGTGCCATCTCAGCAGAATCACTTCTTCCTCTGCAGCGGCCTTTAACCTGTGATATCAGCCTGTTCTCTGGACTTTGGTTCTGAGTCAATAACAGATAACGGAACATTGTGAAGCCATTTTTTACAAGCTTTCTATTAATGCTAAAATAGGGACCTTTAATTCCCAAAAGCTCAAATGTCCACTCGGAATACAGAGGTGGATAATCCAGATCTAGAAAGTAAAAATGTTGTCTTGTTAGCCTTAATCACTTAACCAGATGATTAGCCCCAGGAATGAGTAATCTTGCAATTAATCTCTACAGGCTTTTCACTTTCTGAACCTGGATTATCCACCTCTGGAACTGAACAAGGATTGGTGTTAAAGCAGTGAGCAGAGGTAAGTACATTTTATTTCAGCAGAGTTTAAGAAATAACCAGTACTGTCCAGGATTACCCTTAATAACAACAACTTTTTAATTAATTTCTACTAGGTTTAGATGTGTTGATTCATATTTTAATCGCCAAGTTTCTACATACAGCATTCACTCTAACTCTAGCTCCACTTCATTTTGAATCAGGACATTTAAAGTGGAATTTACAAAAAGTGAAGTATAAATATTTTAAAAACAGTATAGAAATTATAAAAACAGTAGAAGTAGGAAAATATACATTTTTACTACAAAAAGATACGCAAGATTTATAAGAAAAACATGATTCTGATTTCTTTTCTGGGTTGTTGTGTCCTGGAAACACGGAAGAGGAAACCTTTTCTGTGCACTATATTCCTAGGGAAAATAAAAACATAAGTCCTCAGTAAATAACATGGAGAATAAAGGAAATGTTTTCCTCTTGTTCAGTAGTTTAAATAGTCGAGAATAAGGGTGATAATGGGCACGATAAAAAATGGGTTGGCTAAGGAGAAACATATCTCTTTACAATATTAACAGATGACATGTTAAATATGGTTAGAGTGGCTCAGGTTATCTCTGTAGTTATGCTGCTTTAGGGTTAAACTGCTGAAGTACATGGGGACCACTCTTCATCTGTTTTTCTTTAGAATAATTGAAGACAAACAGATACGCCCTACAAATCAGCGCCTGATTTTAAAGGAGGGTTAGTGTCCACCCTGCTAAAGACTACAAATACTAAAGGTTTGTGATGGATCCATTGATCTCACAGGTACATATTTTGTAAATTTACAGTGTAAGTTTTCTGTTGACATTGAAGCATAGGAGGGTGGGTCTGGCCTGAGTGATAATCGTTCACTACATAGGATAACCAGAAAAGACCACGAGTTGATATACAATGTTACCTTTATTAGCTAATATCACACAGTATTACTGTATCTAATAACTACGCAAGCACTAAACACTACCCAAAAATAAGTACAAGTAAATAAAAAGAAATTAAAAGAAGAGGGAAAGGGTTTTAAGTATCCGTTTAACAATCCAAAACTGATTCCAAAGTCAAACAAGAACTGCTCAATTGGTGCTGCCATCTTTCTTGTTCTACTTTCTCCAGTGTCGTGCAGCCCCACTCCCACAAAATGCGACTCTGGGTCCCTGAGCAAGACCCTAAACCCCACACTGCTCCCCGGGCTCTTCACAATGGCAGCCCACTGCTCCCCAGGGGGATGGGTTAAATGCAGAGGGTTAATTTCGTAGTTCTGTATTTATGACAGTGTTATTACAATAAAAGCTGGGGGGAAAAAACAACAACAATGTAGCATGCAAAGCAACAGCTGCAGTGATCAGTCTGTTTATCTTCTTCTCCAATCCCCACACCCCTACATAAACACTCCCCCACTTTGCTGCCCAAGTTTTAATTTCATTTTGGATCATAATGGATTTTAAACAACAACACTAACAAAAAAGTCTGCTTGGATCAGAGACTTTTGTTGTTTTAAATCCAAAAGGTGGTGTTAGTCACTTAAAATCATAAGGAATTCCTTGTGATATTTAAAATTTAAGTGCAGAAGAGGGCGTCTGTTTTTTCGCAGACTGGAGAACTACCTCATTACAGAAGTTATTCCATCCTCTAAGTTAGTTTAAGATCTTTTAGCCTGAGTCTGACTGGTGGACAGATCTCGTATTTTGATCTGTTGGTAAGAGGAGACTTTCTAATTTGTTATTGTCAGTTTTTTTTTGTTTTTTGTTGCAAGTATTTTTTTTCTACTTCTGGAAAATGTCTTTTCAGATTGTTTTTCCAGTTCCGCCTTTGCTCTAGCAAAAGAACAGATTTAAAGGTAGCAGCATAAATGTCACCTAAAAAGGTACAGTGAGCTCCAAAATGAAATTTGATCTAGATCTGATATATATGACTTAGACTTAATTTAATTCAATTCAGTTTATTTTTATGACAATCACAATCACTCCAGGATATGGTTATCCCTATTTCTAGTATACTTTTTTTGTGCCATATATTTTCCTTCTTTCCTTTTGTGTTCCCTTCACCTCTCTGCATCGCTTAATGTTCTCCGACAGAGAGATCTAAGAACAGCCACCCTTTTATCAGTTCCGTTGAGTAGCTTTTATTTGTCCCAGTATGGGCAATTTTCTGTGCAGTAGTAGTACACCTTTCACACACACATTCACATTTCATAAATAAAAAAAATAAAAGAAACACATCAAATATATATATATATATATATATATATATATATATATATATATATATATATGAATATGAATAGACACTCACCGGCCACTTTATTATAAAGTGGCCGGTGAGTGTATATATATATATATATATATATATATATATATATATATATATATATATATATATATATATATATATATATATATATATATATATATATATATATATACAGTATATATATATATATATATATGAATATATATATATATATATATACAGTATATATATATATATACAGTATATATATATATGAATATATATATGAATATATGAATATATATATATATATATATATATATATATATATATATATATATATATATATATATATATATATATATATATATATATATATATATATATATATATATATATATATGAATATATATATATATATATATATATATATATATATGAATATATATATATATATATGAATATATATATATGTATATATATTCATATATATATATATATGAATTAGAAGCAAGTGCAGGGGAGGTAATATCTGGACAAAGCTGATTTATGAGAAGAAATCAGAAATAAGAGAGCCTGAGGGGAGGGGCTGTGACTATTTAATGAGGGCTGTGGGAAGAAGAGCGGCCATTTTTGTTTTCTGTTTCTTTGTTACATTGCTGGTAACTGGAGGGAGGCTGAGGCCCAGAGTAATTTGTATATGTTTAGTTTCTTTTGCACCCTGTTTTGAGTTTTTGAGCACAATAAATCACCAACACCGGTAACCCGACTGAGCCTGGATTCTCGGAGGCCAAAGATCCCCGTCTCAGTGACCAAAATCATCACTGTTATTGTTATTATACAGTAAATTAAATCATTACTGTTAAATTGTATTTCATTTCCAATTCTTTATTTGAATTCTTATTCCGGATTAGTTGGAGACATACACTAGGCTATATCAGCCCCACCAAAAATATTTTTCACCAGCCACCACTGCTGTCCGATGCTGTTTACAATGACTCCATCTTTGTCTATCCTGTTTGAACATTCTTAGTTTTTATGCATATATTGTATATACAAATTTATAACATTTATTTGATTTCGTACTGCTCAGTTCCAGATATTTTTAGTAATTGCTGTAAAGTTTCATTTTTTGTTACAAAAAATCTTACTGCCATTTACTACAGTTATTTTTTACTGAATTGTTTTGGACTTCCAATATGTATCTGCATGTTTCCATTTATCGTTGTTTTAATCTTTACTCATTACTTTATCTTGTTTTATTCTTTTCATCAGAATATCCTCCCAGGTTTCATTTCTCCCTCACCCAGAACTGTCTCTGAAATAGTTCATCGTCTTCAGCTGTGTATACTTCTTTGTTCCACCATTTGCACCTGGTTTCTCCTCAACTTAAACTGTTATTTCCCTATTTGTCTGTGTCGATTTCCATCTTCATGCCCATCCATCTATACATCAATTTTCTGTCATGCTTATCATGAGGGTCATGAGGGGTGCTGGTGCCAATCTCCAGCTGTCAACAGGCGAGAGGCGGCTACGCCCTGGACAGGTCACCATTCTATTGCAGAGCCTTAATCATCTTCAAGTTCTGTTAAATTCACAAATATTTCTTTAAAATATAATTGACTCACTATGTCCTAGATTCTGTCTGCCCTTTGGTCCTGAACAAGTCTCTCATAATGACAGTCCTGAAATATACAGAACCAATTTTTTTATTAAACTGATTTGATTGTCTTTTTGTTGTTTTTTTTACAATTTTTTAAAAATGTTTAAATTTCATTGCTTATTGAATTAACAATATATCTTTCAAAGGCTAAATTGATGATAGAACAGCTGTCAAGAGAAGACAGGTAAGCCTTTTTTCCAAAAGCTAAATGAAGACACGATGAAGGGGAAGAGAAACTTTTTACTTCCTCAGAAAATCTTTATATTAGGGACCTATTGAACAACAAAAACAAAGTGATGTGAATCTATCAGCTGTTAAGTCCAGCCTTCTCTGGCTTCCTGATGAATTTCATGTGAAATTTAAAGTTTTATTTACTTATTGAGTGTTTATATGGGAAAGATCTTCTTGTAAACAGGGTTATACAATAGCCATACAATTTTGTGTGTAGTTCTTTCTTTTAGACATTCATATTTCATATTTTTGTTCAGACCGGTATGAAGGACCAACTCTGCCATATTTAAAAATAAATACAGAAATAAATAAATGCTCAATAAATGTATAAGCATACAATTAATTGCCAACAAAAAAGTGAGACATAAATGTATATAACTCTTAATTAGCTTCTTTATTTATTTGCCTTTGTAATATTTACCTTATTTATTTTTCTGTCCTTTATAATCTTCAACTTTATTTTTTAATTACTTATATTTTTAAGTATTTATTTATGTGCATGTTATTATATTTTTGTCTGTTTTATTCTTCCTTTGTATTTTTTTATCTTAGTTATTTCTTCGCCGCTGTTTATTTCTCTCTGCCCTTTTTACATTTCTCTCTGCCCTTTTTACATTTCTCTATGCATTTCTGTCTCATTATGCAAATGAGGAGGGGGTGTGTCCTAGAGAGTCAACTTCTGCTCATTGGTTGGCTTGGCGGTCCATCTTCTTAACTCAGAGCTCAGAGTACTAAGTTAAATGTTCTCTTTTCTGTTTCTGTTGTTCAATAAAACTACGTTTTAAGATCATTTGAGGCGAGAACCTTATACTTTTAAGCATCACCATATGGCCCATTCACAGATTTAATGCGTAATTTAAAAGAAAATGTGACGAACTTGAGAGGACCGCGGCACCAGCGGAGCTCCGAAGCTGACGGCAGCCAGGTCCAACCACAGCCCATCTGCAGCGGCCCTCTCTCGGCATAGCCGTGTGTGAAGCGTGTTGTTAGCATTTTACTACATCGGTCGAATCTACAGGAGGAGAGTCTGATGTCGAGTCTTAATGCATTAGAACTTGAGTAGGGACTTTGCCAAACTTTGCCAAATACAACAAAAAATCGCCATCATAGCCTGGCTATAGACCTGGCTGCCGTCAGCTTCGGAGCTCCGCTGGTTGCCACGGTCCTCTCAAGTTCGTCACATTTTCTTTTAAATTACGCATTAAATCTGTGAATGGGCCATATGGTGATGCTTAAAAGTATAAGGTTCTCGCCTCAAATGATCTTAAAACGTTCTTTTATTGAACAACAGCAACAGAAAAGAGAACATTTAACTTAGTACTCTGAGCTCTGTGAGTTAAGAAGATGGACCGCCAAGCCAACCAATGAGCAGAAGTTGACTCTCTAGGACACACCCCCTCCTCATTTGCATAATGAGACAGAAATGCATAGAGAAATGTAAAAAGGGCAGAGAGAAATGTAAAAAGGCAGAGAGAAATAAACAGCGGCGAAGAAATAACTAAGGTAAAAAAATACAAAGGAAGAATAAAACAGACAAAAATATAATAACATGCACATAAATAAATACTTAAAAATATAAGTAATTAAAAAATAAAGTTGAAGATTATAAAGGACAGAAAAATAAATAAGGTAAATATTACAAAGGCAAATAAATAAAGAAGCTAATTAAGAGTTATATACATTTATGTCTCACTTTTTTGTTGGAAATTAATTGTATGCTTATACATTTATTGAGCATTTATTTATTTCTGTATTTATTTTTAAATATGGCAGAGTTGGTCCTTCATAGACCGGAGGGGTAAACCGTGCTATTTGTCAAAGTTAGGGGTTGAACTGACAAATACTGAAGAATGGTGGAAAAGAGAAAGAATAAAGGAAAAGTGGGCCATTTGTCTTCCAGCAGTCTAAGCCTACAGTGGCAGAACTAGAGCAATAGTTCAGGATAACCTGAGCCGCTCTCTCTCATATATGGTTTATGTCATTCTGTTTCCTTGATAATTGTTTCTTTTTCGTTTTGTGTCATTGTAGTGGTTTGTGTCTGTTTTCTTTCCCCTGCTCCATATCAGCTCATTAGCCCATTCTTTTTGTTTCCGTTCCCCATACATACACCACCTCTACAGTTCCCCATTGCTGGTTTCTTGTTGCTTTGTTGCTTCATTGCTTGCTCCACATGTGTTCTTTCTCCCTGGCATCTCCTGTTTTTTTGCTTTCTTATGTCGCTCCTGGTTTTTTGCTTCTGTTGCCTCTGAAACCTCAATTAAAATAACGTATCTCTGCCTTCTCATCTCTGCATTTGTTGTTTGCTGGACTATTATTTACGGCTTTTATACATGCAAATGAGAATTTTAAATTTAAATTTAAAAAGTACCCAATGAAGAGATGCTAAAACAGAAGAAATATGTTCTCAGTTTTTAGTTTTCATCAGAACTCTGGCTGCAGAATTTTGGATCAGCTACATTTTGTGGAATTCCTGATGGTGAAAAATTAGAATAGTCCAGCAAACAACAAATGTTTGGACTTGGAGTTTCTTAGCATCACCTCGGGAGAAGATATAAGCTTTGTAATACTTTAAAGCTGAAAAAAGCTGATATGGGATTTAAATAAAAAAGTCCTGATCAAATACAACAGTAAAGTTTTTTAGATTACTATCTGACACTAACTTTAATGCCATCTAGATTCAGTGACTGACTTACAATTAGCTTCTTAATGAAAACATGTGAATCACATGCTAGAAATAAAAAAACCCTCTTTACAAAATTTGACTGCAGGGACTGCAGAAAAGTTCGGTGGAAAATTATGTTTAATTCAGTTATACATAAAAACAATATTAATCCAAAACTCAGTATATCATTTCATTTCATTTGCACCATGCCTTAAATAATGTTTCCAAAACAAAAGTTTGAGAAGATAGATTAAAGCTCTATTGCAGGAGTCCAGAAGGAGAAGCCTGTTTCTCACAAACCCAATGCAGCATCAGGGAACAAGTCTCCATGCTCCACGATCTGGACCATAAACGGAAACTGTTTAAAGCTGCACATCCCTGAGTCCTGAAACGGCTCCATGAATTCTCCCAGTACCTGCAAGGAAAATTTATGATCATCAAAAAAAAAAAAAAAAAAAAAAGGATATTCAATTTATGATCATCAAAAAAAAAAAAAAAAAAGGATATTCAATTTATGATCATCAAAAAAAAAAAAAAAAAGGATATTGCTTAAAGGAAAAAAAAGTAAGTAAAGCAGATTGTTTAAACACCTACGAGTTTCTTAGAGAGCTTCCATCCACCCATTTCCATCCTTTTTCTGGGGTTGTATACTGCAGGCCGATCCAAAACTTCAGCTGATCTCCAAGCTCTTTCAGAAACATCTGCAGGTTTACACATTTATTTATTACTTCACAAACAGAGACAATGGTTTGTATCCGTAAAATAAACAGAACCTCACCATTTCCTCCGTGCTTTTGATGATCACCAGATCTGCTCCGTTTCTTGAACACTGATACTTGCTTTGTTCCCAAGTGTTCTTCCATGAAGACAAAAGGTAACACCTGCAGCCAAACTTCCTCCATCCAACAGGGCATGTTACTGAGAAAGTACAGCTATGAATCTTTGATTCTTCTTCAAAAGATAAATAATCACAGTATTCCCCCTAAAAGGCTTGAACTAGTCTAGTAGTATCTATGGTAAAGCACATATGTTACCCATTTGCGATGTGATTTATAAATCTTTAGTAATCAGGGTTATTTTTTGAGCACCACAGAGTTTAGTGCTCGGGCCAATTCTCTTTATTATACCATGTATATTTCTGCTTTCTATTGGTAAAATGATCAGACAGTATGGGATAAATTTCCCATAAAAGTTATTCTGTGAAACTCACCAGATTCCTTCTTCATTTGTTCCAGATTCAGCTCTGCCACCTTTAAACTGACTTCTAACTGATCCTTCTCATAGGTTAGGTTCTGGTTCATCATCTGGAGGTAGTTTCTCTCTGCCGTCTGATTGGCCAATTCTCCACTCAACTGATTAAAGTCTCTTTGATCTTGGTGAGGAGAATAAAAGAGGAGCAATGTTATCTGCATTTTGCTAATTGCACTTCATCTTCACAATTGTCATGTTGGGGTGAACACTCACACAGGACACTGACAGTTACCACCACGGCCAGCAGGAGGAAACTAAGCAGTCCCAGAAAAAATGCCGCTTTAAAACACAAGGTTCTGGTTTCTTTCTCAGGCGAAAAATCAGTTTTTCCTGGTTTGTCTCCTGAAGGTGCAAAGATCAAGCAAAACATTATCTTTGAAAAATAATGTGAATTATATAAAGATAAAAATAAAAACTATAATAGATGGAAGTTGTATGGAGGGAATTTAGTTTCATTATTGTTACAAGCAAAGAAGACATTTTGTACATGGATGTTTAATGCAGAAATAAAACTTTTAAAACATCTCATTTAAAAAAAAGGCTTTGAGGGTAACTTTTCTGTTCCCTCTTGCTGTTTTTTTTATTTTAGTCTTTCAACTCTTATTTTTTCCCTTTTTTCTATAGATTTAAAATTCTCTTTTCCAAATGACTTTTAAAATGCATGTTTTTTTCAAAAATACATTTTACAGATCACTTTCTCATCACTTTAAGCCCAGTACAAAAGCTGACTCTTGACACACACATTGACATTTAATAAAAAGTGGAGAGAATGTTATCTGTGAAACACATTTAGGTAAGAATGCTATTTGCAAAACCCATTCAGAAAAATTAAAATCTGAAAAATTAAGAATTAGAATTCTTTATTTTAAAGCATTGCAAAGTTTTTTAAGACCCCATTTTTTAATCAAGAAGTTTTTCCAAGCTTTATTTGTATTATATTTTGTTTTCCTCTTAATTGTATATTGCTATTCAATGTTGTATGAATGTATATTCATACAACATTGAATATTCAATGTATATGAAAGTATAAGCTTGTACTAGTAATAATCTTTGAATATGTTCTAATCTCTACAATCTAATCAGGATCTCTCTTTGGACCAATTTTCCACTCATTTTAAGACCAGTCCTGAAGGAAAAAACCTTTATCTCACCATGTGGTCAAGCAAGTCTGAATAATTTAAATGAATCATAAACTTCCAAACAGCAACTGGAAATTGTTGGATCTCTGTGTCTCCATAACAACCATAACACACTATCTACAAATCAATCAATCAACCAACCAACCAACCAACCAACCAACCAACCAACCAACCAACAAATCAACCAACCAACAAATCAACCAACCAACCAATCAATCAATCAATCAATCAATCAATCAATCAATCAATCAATCAATCAATCAATCAATCAATCAATCAATCAACCAATCAATCAATCAATCAATCAATCAATCAATCAATCAATCAATCAAGCCAACTGACTGTTTAGAAGTGATGGCAGAAAAAGCCTGGTATTTCCATCACTAACATCAGCAGCTGTGTTCAGATCAGACTATAAATGGGTGTTGCAGCTCTGAATGCTGCAGGTTATTCTGCTATAAAACAACAAATGAATATCTGCCCAATATTACATACAGTGGAGGATCTGTGATACTGTGGTCCTGTTTTTCTACCAAGCATGGGGATATGGTACATAAAAGTCTGGTGGCCATTTGATAAATAAAAAAAAGGTCATTATTTATGTTGAAAGGTTTTCTTCCAATAATACTAAAAGCACAGGAGATGTTTTATTTAACGAAAAGGCTTTTCAAAAAACTGAACATCGAAGAACTCCTCAATAAAAGAAAAGGGGTTTTAAGAGAAGTTCATTTGTATGCATAAGTTCAACCAATATTTGTACAATTTTTTTCAGATTTTACTCTTCAAATTTTTTATTTTTCAAACTTTTTTTCAGATTCTGTTTTTGTTTTGTTTAGTCAGATTTTTAGTTTCTCACATTTTCTGGGGAAATTAGCCTGATCTGCTTGGATATTTTCAACTGCATTTGTAACCTGCATAAAATAAGAACCCGTATTTTATTTTGGCGGGTCAAATTGATAGCACCCTTTAAGTTCCGGGTCACAGGTGACTCAGATCTGAATAGCTGTTGCTGCTGTCGCTGTGGCTAGCTGCTCGTCTCGGCGTCTTCTAAACTAATAGAAGAATACGGCTGGATCAAGGCTTACTAAGACGGCCGAAGGATTTAACTGAGTGTTTTCTGTCGACCGCTCGACGGTCAGGTTTTTTTTCACCCCCTGTGTCACGTCAAGATGGCGAGCTACCGGATCACCGCAGCTTCGCGGTAGGATTTACATGAACCAAGTTACTTTCTCATTCTGAACTTATTTGCTTTGGGTTATGGACAAGAAAAACCCTACAACAATCAGACATTGATTGATGAACCGTTGAATCACTCTAGATTCATGAATGGACTAAAAAGGAAACTCTTGGGTGACATAAGGATTTATTGTTTTGTTGATGAGTTTGTTTGTTTTTGTTTCTTGTCGTATTTTTGGTTATATCATAAAAGAAGTCACTGTTGTTATAAATATTATTAATATTGCATACCTTTATATATATATATTTGAAAAAGACTCAAACTTGAATATAATAATTGAAACATACTTCGGTCTAATGGTATTTTGTTCACACCCACGGGCTCCATAGGCGAACCTATCTGAGTGCCTATTATAACTGGCTGCAGTCAGGCGCCTAGCCTTAAATAAGCGTTACACGTGGCGAGCTAGCCAGGAGCTTGTGTGTGTGAACATTTTTTTTTTTTGGGCTATTTCTCATTTTGAACATTTATTTCAGTTGTAGGAATAGGAAATTCTAAGTAAAATATTCAACTTTTTCAAAAGGTAAAATAAAGAATACTTAATTAAAAAAAAAACATGATGGATATTGTTGAGCAATCTGGTATAAATGTATCACAGTCTGTGATGATTACTGGTGCTACCGATACCAAGGTTGATGAGGAAATACTTAATTGCTTAAGTAGATACGGTAAACTTAACCGCACTTTATATGTAACTGATTCCTCAAGCACGTTTTTTAAAAACCTGATCGTTGAGTTTGCAGATTTAGCTGCTTTTTCCGCACTACAACCGCTTCTACCTTATACTTACACCTCTCAAACAAATACTGACTGAGTGTTTTGTGTCACCGCTTTGGCATTCGAGTATGCAGCCACAGAGGGCAGCAGCAGCAAACATCAGCCCAACTACATCGCTGAGCTCAGGAAAATTGCTGATCAAAGCGGCCATCGTTTTGAAGATGTTCTGAAGACAGTAATGAGCCAGATAGGCCAACATCTGCATGCAGCAGGAGCAGATGAAAATTTTGATGATGATGATGATGATGATGATGATGATGACTATGACGATGATGAGGAAGAGGACGGAGTAAAGGTGAAAGAGGAAAGGGAAGTGGATAAATTTACTACTGCACAGCCAGTGCAAACGGACTTAGGATCATTATCCTCACTTCCTCCTGCTCATTCATCCTCGGGCCAGGGAGCACGACCTCGTCGAAAGCAAACTGGACCAGCTCCAGGACTGTCGCTTTCTACCAATGATCTTAACCCACCTCAGATACAACGGGTTGTTGTTGAACATGTGGTTCGAAATACTGATTTGACTGGTCCAACCTCACTTCGTCTCCGTACTTTTTCAGGAAGGTTTCCTAAGCCGAGTCATGAAGCTGACTTTGAGTCCTGGCGTTCCCAGATTGAGTCTCTGCATGCTGATTCCAGTCTCTCTGCACTACATGTCACTAGACGAATCACAGAGAGTTTGTCATCACCTGCAGCTGATTTAGTCAAAGGTTTGAGCCCCAATACAGTACCAACAGTTTTGCTAAGAGTACTAGATTCTGCTTTTGGAACAGTGCAGGACGGTGAAGAATTGTTTGCACAGTACTTAAACATTCTGCAGAATCCAGGGGAACGACCATCCACTTACCTTCAAAGGCTTCTGCTCACCCTCAACACTGTTGTGAAGCAAGGAGGAATTTCACCTGCTGACATCAATAAACATTTACTCAAACAGTTTTGTCGTGGGTGTTGGGATAACACTGTCATCATAAAGTTACAGCTGGAACAAAAGAAAGACAACCCACCATCTTTTTCTGATTTATTGTTGTTACTCAGGACAGAAGAAGATAGGCAACATGCTAAAGAATCACTTATGAAAAAACACATTGGAACGTCCAAACAGAAAGTTAACATCCAGTCCCAAAGTGCCTGTTCTTGTGGACATTCTACATCCAATGAAGAGCTGAAAGAAATGAAAAAACAGCTTCAGAAACTACAGCAGCAAATGTCCCAACTTCTGTCCAGGAAGAGTCCAGCTGAATTCAAGTCCATGTCAAGACAGAACAAGTCCTACTCTTCACCTCAGGTACGAACCAAGCCCAAGCCTTGGTACTGTTTTAATTGTGGAGAAGACAGCCATCTTTCCTCCTCCTGCACAAATAAAGCAAACCCCAGTCTGGTTGAGCAGAAAAAGAAACTGTTACGCCAGAAGCAACAAGCATGGGATGCCAAAATTTCAAAATCTTTAAACTAGAAACAGCTCCTGTAGTGGGACACACAGAAGCTGTGTATATGAACAGTCCCAAAGAACGCAGGATAAGAACACTGCCACAAGGTCTTATTGGCACAAAGAGCATATGCCAAGTTCAGATAAAAGGAGATCAGCTTAACTGCCTCCTTGATTCTGGCTCACAGGTTACTACTATCCCCTACTCCTTCTACAATACTTACCTCAGGGACCATGAAATCAAACCAATAAACAACCTGTTGGAAATAGAAGGAGCAAATGGACAAACAGTGCCTTACCTGGGATATGTAGAGATCAACATGACCTTCCCACCTGAATTGTTTGGTTTACCTGTTGAAGTTGACACACTTGCTCTTGTTGTGCCTGATAATAAGCCATCTCAACATCTGGTTCTCATTGGCACAAATACCTTAGATGTTGCTTACAGCAAACATTTTGACACTCACCCTGACGAGTCATTTCAACCTACAGTCTCTGGTTATATAGCGGTGTATAAGATCCTCCAACACCGCTATGCCCAGAGTTCGAATGAACTTACTGCAACTGTCACCCTGCAGTCTAGTCAGCCCCAAATCATTACTGCTGGGCAGACCACAGTTGTAGAAGGGTGCTTAGCTTCAAGATTGTGGCAAGGAGAAAAACAAGTCCTCCTGGAACATCCGAGTTCCTATGCCCTCCCTGGTGGGCTCATGGTAAAAGCCTGCCTCATTGACTTGCCTCAACACCGGCCGTGTCATGTGCC